TCTCGACATCACCATTTCTGTCCTTGTTCTCTTTCCCGTGCATCGATCTCCTCTGCTCTCCTTCCTGCTTGAGAAAAGGCATCTTCTATAAAGACCTCCCGAAGACGGCTGAGCGAATTCTGCTTCGTCACGACAAAATAAATCGGGTCAGCTAATAGTATTAATCCACAATTTCCAAGCTAGCTAACACAATCAGAAGAGGGCATCGAGTACCATAGCTGGTATAGTGAGCCGGACCCCTCGAGTTGATGATAAATATGAGCTAGCAAATCATGTTTTAATCCACAAAATCTTGTTAAATGCTCTTGTCATTGTCAGGAGTGCATCTGCTTCTGTTACTCGGTGGATTATCGATAATGTCTGCGTCGTTCCCATCGCTTTCGAAGCAGAACAGAACCAAATAGAGAGATGATGCAGAGGCGTCTCTCAAACAGTAATTCAGGCCGCGTAATTAATTTCAGTTCGGAGGCTGAACGGACTTTGATGAACGACGTTAGGCCCGCCAGATGCGGTGGGAAGCGGGAGCAACAACAGCAGATATCGAGCCGATCTTGTCAGTCTCGGCTCGGGTGTCGCTCAGAACCCTTTGCTGGCGACGTGACCTAATACAAAACCATGCAAAACATGTGGGGACTACTCTCAGTTATTTTCTATATCGATCCATCTGCTCAACCTCCCCCTGCCCCCCCCCGCTACTTCGTCCCACACCCTGAAGCCAGCACGCCCAGATATGATAAACAGCTCAGACAGGCATTAGAAAGCTGTGTTCCCTGAACAAAAACACCTTCCTGAACCATCCTGAATACCGCCCTTCGCCATCTAAACTCAGCTAACACAACACAGGACTTCGGCCGATGTTCTCAAGAGAAGACATGATCGTTATCGTCGTTATCATAAACCGTCTCAGGGCTCAGAGGTGGAACCTGAGACATGACTGGATCACACATCGATTAGAACATTAGTTAGTAAGGCGGTGATTTTGGCACATAGCAATGAAATACAGTTTCTTGGTCAATCCGCCTATACGTCATTTCACAGCAACTTTCCGTAAGAATTGATGTCTGATAAGGGTCCATGTCATCATAGGAAAAATATTGAAAAGTGTCCAGTCACAACAATCGAAAAATGCAACTAGACATTGAACAGCAAGTGGGCCGGTATAAGCAGTCATTCTATATGCATATTAATTATAAATAACATTTTTTTCACAGTAAGACATGGTAGAAGTTCTAGCTAAGAGCAAGTACCTAATGTTTTACGTTTCCATGCTTCATTGGTGCTGCTAAAACACAGCACTTAGATTATAAGCATTTTGTCATTTTAAAGATAACTGATTCCTGAATCCTGATTTATCAGCTCTAAATCAGATGGCTTGTCGTGCATTAATGCAACTTGGGTAGACGGCTTATGCATGCTGATATATTTTGACAATTTACTCAAGTTAGATGACCCGGCAATGCCGGCATTAAACATCAGGGAGCAGTTATTAGATGGCTCATGACCAAATGTATTTAAACGAAATTCATGAAAGCTAAATTTGAAACCGAATCTTTGAATAGCCATGTCCCTGCATATCTTAAACTTCTCTTTCTTCTCCAATATGGGATTGGATATTCGTAATAGCTGAGCTAGTGTAACATCTACGTCACCCCAGTTATATTATTACAATGCCGCAAAATGCCGGATGCAAGTGGGTCCCTTTCAGATAAAATAATCAGAGTTTAAAAAGGCTAAGGTATGCAATAACAATAGAGCCCAAGACTCTATGGATGAGTTGAAGCTATGGTGACATAATTTTTTAGGGAGCCAGAACGGCAAGATAATGGCGTTATCTTATATGGTTCATCCAATTAGCATCAAACAGGCAAAAATTGGAGCATGTGTACATGAAAGCATTCAGGAGGAAAGCATAGGAGAGCTTGATCAAGTATATTTTGAAACGTTACATGTAGGCCATCAAAGTGCCATTTTGACATCACTTTGCTGTGGTTAAGCAGCCCGTGGCCGCGGCCGAAACCGCACCAAATGAGAGCGACACGACACGTCACAGTGCAGTCCGCTCGGGCGCATGATGCAACGGCTCTGCAGCATTGGAGCTGAGCTTCAGCCGTAGTTATTTCTGCCCGGGCGGCTGCGGCCGCGCCGGTTCCCAGTAGCGCTAATAGGCCGCGATTCACCAGCGCCGGCAGCCCCGGGCGTTATTAAAATATGACCGTCCGTAATGGCGCCGGCACAGCGTGCGCCAGGTGACACGGCGCCTCGAGGTCAGCCGGCCACCCACGGGTGACCTCAGTGCGCTCCAACAGAGCTGAACAGGACTGCACCGACGGGGGCGCGATTCGTACCCATTGAGCGGGTGACCAGGTCATTCAGGGGTCCGGGTACGTGCCTTTGGGTGAGGTGCATTTCGGGAATATGCAAGAGCCTAATGCTGCTATTCATGAGCTTTTAGCCTGGAGCTGTGTTCATAGTTTTAATGAGCGAGGTGCCGCACTCAAATGGAACGTCGGAGCTTTCCCGCACGGAGAGCTGAGAAGATGAGACATTTCTTCTTGGAACTCACGGCAAGAGAAACACCCTGGTTATGAGGAAGGATGCAGTTATTGCAGATGCATGCACAGAGCAATGAGCATGCACTATTCTCATATGTGAGGTAACGCAACAAAATGATCGAAAGGCTAGGGCTAGTGAATGTGGCATTTTATCTTTTATCAAGGTAAGCTTCAAATTATTCACTCACATATGTAACTCATGTTTTATACCATTGCATTCCAAAACAAGATTGGTACAACCTTCAGCTGAGAAAATAAAACATCCGGATTAAAAATGACTACCAATCTAAATTTGCAGAACGAATTGCCTCTTCCGACATAATTGTTTGGCTCGCACTCCAAGCTGACAGTGACGCACTCTTGTAAATTGATTTTCCAGCTCAGCCCGGGTGGATCTCGGCGCAGGCTGCCCTGCACACCGGTCCCAGCGGCCCTCGGAGCCGCGCTCCCGAACGGGGCACGGACCATAACCTCCTCGCCGGGCCGACAGAAACGAACGCCCGCCCATTCATCGCAGCCGGCGCGGACTGCCGCGGAGCCACGCGCATCTACCGAAACAAATCACTTACATCGGCGAGGCCGGTCCGGAAACATTCGTCACTGTTCGGTGCCGGGGGTCCGCCAGCGTCCGCCGCTCCTGCCATCCGTCATGGACCGTTCCCTGTCACTGTCTACCCCTTCCTCCGTGTGCCGGCCGTCTGTGGCGCCCTTTAGCGCCGACTTGCCACTCCCCTGGCCGCGCGCCACCGTCTGCTCTCTCTCTCTCTCTCCGTCTGCTCTCTCTCCCTGATCACCCTGCGCCGTCCTCCGGCCGCCGATCGGTGTCGAGCGATCTGTGTATCTTGCTCTCCACCGCGCGGCTGCCGCCGCCACGCGATGTCTCTCCAGCGGGTGCCCAGAGCCACATATTGGAATATATGGGGTTAATCTGGCGAAAAGGCGCTGTCCATCTCGCCATGAAAGCCGATAGCCGCTGAACGTTTGACGGGCCGAGTCAGCACCCGAAGGGCGCCGACGGCCGCCGCGCCATCAGCGACCATGGCCAGGACCATCGACGTTTCTGTCCGACGACGGTCGGCGTCGGACGTCGTCGACCTCGACGGACCGACCGAGAGTGCGGCTGCGGACCCCGGACCGTCACCTTCCGGGGTGCGGGCCCGCCATTTCCGGCGCCGGGTGATCGGCTTCCGGGCCGCCCCTGGCCGCGGTACCGGGCGGCGCGGCGCAGACCGTTTGCGCCTCATTTGCGCCGCGGCCGCTCCGCCGGCTTGTGGCGGTGGTGTCCACGCTGTTCCACATTGAGGTCCACCTCTCGGCCGCAGTCCGGCGGCGGTGATCGATCTCTGAACCCGCCGACCCGCTCTGACCCGTTTTCGAGCCCACTCTCGTCTTCTATCGACACGGCCTTCCCATCGGCCGTCGGTGACGACTTCCGACCGTGGCCTCATCAATTGAGAGACGCACACAAAAAGCGCCACTTCGAGAACTCGAGGCCATGCGCGCTGAGCGATGGTTTTGCTGAGGGCCCATCGAGAATGGGCGGTGAACGGTGGATCAGTTTCGACCCTCCCGGCTGTCTGTTTTCTCTCGTCTGAGCATTTGAGGAATGTGTAGGCAAAGCGTGCAATGTCGCTACTTCTTGCTATGGCTGCTATGCAAGATAATTCCGGACTTACGGAGATAAACAGAACCGACGAGATTCCACGACAGATATTGGCTCGCAAATTCCTCAGTTATCCGCCGCTAGCGCCCCAGAATGGCGCAGGCTCTCAAAACAAAAGCCGGGTTTTATTTTCCTGGATGGACCGGCTTTTCGCCCGGGGTTCTGAAGGATATGACGGCACCACTGCTAAAGAGGCGTGCGTGGTGCATTACAGACATAAAGGGCAGAGCGACCGTTGATTTAGTCAATGGCAGAAGTCTGGTGTGTGTGTTTTTCCAGTTCACTTCTAATATAATTCCATTCTTCACTGCGAAAAAGGCAAATGGCAATCACCGTTTTACTACATTAGGAGATAGAGATTACGACAAAATGAAAACTTAGGTCTCAACAGCTTACTTCTATGTAATCTTCAGCTTCCTCTGACGAAAAGGAAAGAGAAGGAGGAGGTTGAGGACAAAAAGAGATAAATGGGAAAATTATGACCTAGAAGGCTTGCATAAACAAGAAATGTGGAAAGTAGATTAATTAGTAAGGAACTTCTGGGTGACAAAAACAGCGTTTCCTTGTCAATTTACGACGAGTTTGTGGTAGACTCACTCAACAATCGTAATGAACCAGCTCAGCTTATTGTTAATCAAGCCAGTACCGCACCGATTACATGGTGTTATGGCCACGCAATTAAGACCACTTTGGCCCAACGAGGTCAGAGATGGCGGCGGGTCATTGAGGCCAGCCGTGCTGCCGGTCGGGGGCAGTCGATGGGTCAGCGCGACACGCGTACCCACCTCCCACAAAGGCTGAGCTGGCGCTGCTCCCAGCGCTGGCGCTGACGAGTCGCCGCCCTGGACCTCGTCCGTCACCCCATCGCGACGCCCCCGCCCGGAAGCACACCGCCGCCCCCGCCCGGAATCAAACTGCCGCACCCGCCCGGAATCGAGCGTCTCGATACCGGACGGACGACACACAGCGACGCCGCCGCACCACGACACTGCTCTCAACCGAACCGACCGCCGACCCACCGCTCACCGAGAGGTCACAGCACACGTCGCGCTCGACGCAGTCCGTCGGTCACCGCACCGCGTCGACCGGTCCCGTCGCCACCGACGGCTGAGCGCGACTGGCGCGGCGCTCCGCCACTGCCGCCGCCGCGCCGCCACCGCCGCCGCACGCCGCGATTCATCAGAGGACCGACTGATCTGAGAGCTGCTCCGTGCGCCGGCCGCCGGAGGTGACACGCGCTGGGTGCCGGGAGAGGCGGGGCGGGGCGGGCCGGGGCGGGCCGGTGGCAGGGTCCGCCGCCCCAGGCGCATACAAACTGCCCCGGCGGCGGCCAGCACGCGCCGGCCCGGAGACGGACGGTGCCCGGTTCTAATGACGGCGGCGGCAGGCGTCAGGCGCCGCCGAAATGAACGTCACCGGCGGCAGAGAGATAAATCTCCCGTTAGCGCTCAGTGTCGCGGAAGCAATTGCTACCTTACCGAGAAAGACGGCCGGGAGACCTTGAAATTGATAAATAAGGCAGGTATTGCCTCGGAGGCCATTTGTTGATCAGCTTGAAAGCGGAACTAACTTGACTTGGGAAAGTTTATGACGCGAGGTCATTTGGGCAGGATTCAGACTCTTCTATTTTTTAGATTCGAAATGGGAAGTCGGTGAGTAGTTCATTGGCGAGAAGAGCCGTGTAAAGGAAGTTTTTAATTTCGTTAGTAATTAGGGATACCATTCACTGCGCTGAACTCGCAATCACGGCGGATCCTGAAAAGTCGAATTCGTATAATGAAATGAAGTCGCATTCATTTACACAGGCTTTGAGCCTGAGGAAATGTGGGCCACCTCTACTTCCGATTACCGTTTAATGCAGCAGCAATTTTTTTGCGATAGGTAGTTTATAAAGCTATCCTAACAACGTATTGATTGCTGTCTTTACATTCCCTATGCCTCGTTAGTCCATCTGATGTGGTCCATTTTTAGTCCGCTATCGGATGTAGCGCTGTAGCATCTGCAACCCCAGCGTCCCTAACCAGACTGTGTTTGGCGGGAGCAGTTGTGACCTGATCGATTCATCGACCAGACACGTATCAATGACACATAAGTCTCATATATAAACCGGCTTAAACCAAACATTGCAGGATCACTGCAGCATCCGGTATCCCTGTCGGTGAGTTCTAATGAGTGAAACATAACATCGGAACAAGATGCGGCTGAATATTGCATAAGCCTTGGATAAAATTTGCACTTCTCATGTAAAGCCCACATTATTCCAATATTAGCATGCATCGCTGCTTTTCACCACAGAAGCAAGTTCATGATCATCAATGCTTCTATGCGCAGCATGCCCGACGATGACATCGTATTGCATCAGTTGTCAGCTCATCAGTTCAGTATCAAACCGATAATGGGCTTACGGCGTCCTAATGAGCGTTCGTTTCAACAATTCCGCCCGATGCCGACCATCACAAAGGTCTCACACGACTGGGCGGCCGGCTTTTCGTGTCAAACGACCCAACTCGGCGTCATCACGGGCCGGCGAGCGGCGGCTCTGGTCGGGACGGGTGGTGCGATCGACGGCGGCCGCCGCCAATGGTCGGCCAGATTGGCCGGCCGATCGCCGGGCAGATGTCGGGGGGAGGGGAGGGGAGGGGGGCTGCTGACCCAGCTGGGGCTCATCAGCAGCGGCCGGGAGCTCCGCCACCGATAGACGACCGCCGGCGCCGCCACACACACGGCGGTAAACATGCAGACGTTACATACACAAACAGGTGGACGGGCTCAGTGACATGGTGCAACGCAACGCTTCTGCGCTTCGGCGCTGGAATTTATGGCTGCTTTAGAACCCGTGTGTCGTTTGGAGACGACGAATGATGATCAACTACCAAGCCGTTGATCAAGTTCTTGAAATGCTGACGAGCCGGCGAGTGACGAAGGCATGTTCTTGAAGGAACTTTATCCGATTCTGATACGATCCGGAGCCTATACGGGACTTTGTGCGACTCAGCTATATTCCCCGGCGCTGAGGCCATCGTCGACCCTATCTGCTGCACAAGTTGTGAGCTGCAGCCCCGCTCGTTTCCGAGCTGCCGACTAGACCTTCCGGAGCTCAGTAGTGTCGCCGGCCTACCGCCGGAAACGACTTTTAAAAACAGGCCCTGTCTGTGCGGCTCCCGGACAAACAATTCAAAACCAAACAGGCGGAGAGCGGCGCGGAAAGTTGGTACCGGCTGACATAGTCAGGCGGGCCGCCGCGCCGCCCAGACGGCGCTGCAGGATGAAGTACGAGGGAGGGGAAGGAAATGCGACTGGGATATCGTGTTGTTGCCAACGAAGCAACGTTTAGTGTGCTCGTCCTACTAGAAATGAGAAGAAAACAAAACCAAAATTATGGTGAAGCACAGGCATCAGGGGTAATGTTTAAAGTCAGGAATGTGATTATCTATAACTTATTTGGGCTTGGGTAATTAATCTAAAAAAGAAATATGTCGACGCTTAGTTATTCAATGTATCAGCGTGATATATACCTACCTCGCATCGCAATATAGACTTGCCTTATGTTTTCATAATGTTTCTACAGGATTAACGCGTCAAATGATAACCAACGCTGTCGCCGACCTTGTCGTGCCTCTGGTGGAGGCCGGGACATTTATTGTAGGGGAGGAAAAACGTAGATGAATTTTGATGAATGTATTGAAGAATTCCGGACGATAGATGATGATGAACGGTAGACGAGGGTGAAATTGAAGAACGCAGAGTAGACAGGTAGACCAGAAAACACAGTAGCACTGTCGATGGTCACTGTTGTCCGCCGAGGCGGACATACCGGCGCCGCCGCGGACGGGGGCGCCGTCGGATTCACTCGCAATACGCCGGCGCGCGTCGGGGCCCCGGCGAAATCGCGCACTGCCACTGAGCTACGCGCTCAGTGGCGTTCACTTTGGCAGCCCACTGGGGGTGCCCGTTCACTTTAGCAACCCGCTGGGGGTGCCTGTTCACTGCGGCAATCCGCTAGGGATGCCGTTCACTCTGGCAGCCCGCTGGGGGTGCCGTCGGAATCGTGCGCGGTGCATGATTCCGTCACTTCACTGATTCCGGCGCACATCGGGGCGCCGGTGGAGCCGCGCACCGCCACCGAGGACTGTACTCGGTGGCGTTCAAGTGGAGACTGCCCGCAGCGTCTCGAGGAGCCGCCGCGGACACAAAGAGAACAATTAGGCTGTACATCTAAAAACACTCAGAAAGCGACACTGGAAACTGGTGAGAATAGTCTGAGCAGGCTCGCGCGGCACGTTCGGTTATACGATACGGTGCGCGGCGAGCACGAACAGCCGACAAGTGTGAAGCGATATCGCGAGTGACAAATTGTAGGCAATTAGAACATGAGACGAGAAACTAACACAAGAGCTGGTCCAAGGTCACGGGGCACGACCAGTACTGCGATAGATCACGCTTGGCTGTCAAATGTAAAAACGAAAGAGAAGAACAACAGGGCAGTTCATTTCGTCAGTGACAAACGCACTATCCTCCACAATAGGTACACATACCTACCAAACTGGGGCTCCACACCCGAAATGAATATTCCGATTGTCATGTTTGGCACATGCCTATAGCTGCAATGAATCGCTCTAATAATTTACATAGTCAAATGCAAAATCCTCCAAAAGTTTCGCTAAACAAATTGTTCGGGTCATGCAGCACCAGATCCATGGTAAATTGTCAAACTTGCTGAAAGGAAACAAGCAAATCGGGAAAGTTGCTACCAACAAAGGCAACTGTGATTCACGACTGCGAAATGTAACACACATTCAGCTTTGAATCATTTACTTGTAATTGCTGTCTTATTTATACATTATTTGACCTTATAAGGCATATGTCTATTAGAAGCCTTATCTCTTTCATTTTCCTCATCCTGTCCTTATTATGCTTCACCAAGAATAGCAGCTAATTCAGAGAGTCTGGGTTTCTGTGAGCCGCGGCTCATGACAGCTGCCGGCTCGTTACACGGTCTCGTGGGTGTTTCCCGCGCCCACCCTCAGCCGGCCTCCAGTGGTATAGGGAGGAGGCCCGCAAAGACCATCTCCGCCCCCACACGCAGGCTAATTGCGGCCGACAACTAAGCCGACTGACTAATTGTGGGAGCATTCACGAATTGTAGGGTGAGAGAGGGGGCACTGATGGGGGAGAGAGGGGGTAGAGCGAGCAGAGGTAGAGAGAGGGAGGGAGGACGACAGAGTGAAGAGGGCAGTGGATGGGAGACGACATGCAGTAGACGGTAGACGGTGGAATGTGGAAGATGAATTGTAGACGCAAGACGATGGATATAATTGACGGGAGACAGGAGCCTTGCACGGTGGACGGTGGACGATGGACGATGGACGGTGGACGTTGGACAGTGGACAGTGGACGGTGGACGGCTGATGGTGGAAATTGAACGGTGCAAGGAACACAGTGATGAATTAACAACGGAGAATGTGCAGCGGAAGATGCACGTATGGTATGATTACTCACTCAGGTCATTGTTCCGAGATGGACGATAAACGGTGCCGGTAAGGGCAGGCTGACTGCCGGCAATGTTGACGTTCAGCAGAACCACAGGTGGTTTATATTTGAGACACCGTCTCGAGTCAGTCCATCAGCCACGGCGAGCTCTGCCCTGCCGTAGTCCAGCTGGGGCGAGGAAAACCGGGCCCACCTGCTGTCAGCTGGCTCCTCGCCAGATGCCCCGCGGCCGCAGCCGCTCGGAGCCGGTCACGTGACCTAGCGCCCCGGGTAGCATTTGTCCGACCGACCGCAAGCCACGGTCGGTTGCCATGACGACGGTCCTCTGAGCCGCATGGCCTTGCTGTTTAGTAATGTCATGCCACGCGTCGCTGATATAATGCATTCCTTGTAGCACGTCGTCATTTGATGAGCTTATATGAGGTCGTTCATTGACTCGTATTGGGTGATCACAATGCCATTCATTTGATCCGAGAGGAGGCTGAAAATAAGAGTCCTTCTTCTCTGTTGAATAAGAAGTTGATCAGTGGCTTGGATTTTGTGGCGTCTGCGCATTGAGGCCTCGGGTACATAGGTACCTAAATAGACCTTGGAGCAAATGCTGTGGAAATAAGACAGACATGGGAGTGGTAGGTAACAAGTTTCATTCAATGGATCCAAGACGACAATCGACTGGATTTCGATACATTCTCCTGGCTATGAACATCGATCAGGTCACATATAGGTAAACGCCTGGTAACAAATGCAATTTTATTATAGCTTCTAGCTATAGCGCAAAACCTGGCTTCACGGTTCAAAGCGACCGTAACTCGGCGGAGATGCGTTGCGGAACAGTCTATCTTCAGGCGCTTACCGCTGCTGCCATCTAGCGTAACTTTTGTAAGTAAGGTACAGCCCTCAGCAGACTGCGTGGTAGGTATTATTTTGTCGACAAAACCGATGATAGCTCAAAGGCTATGCTATCAGTCGGTCGGAACTCACTGCAAATACATGTATGTATATGCGCCATGCTCCACTTCTTCGATTGGGTTTATCACTAGACAAAGTAGGTATACGCCTTGTGAGTTGTGTGGCAACAAAATGCAAAAGTTTGCTTTGGGGGCAAATATAAACATTTGGGTTTTGTTGCCAAACTGGATAGAAAATGAACATGATGATAATGTAAAGGTGCGAAGTCTCGCGCGTCATGCTGTTACGATTTCCGAGTGACCGATGGCATGGAAATCTGCAAATCTGCAAAAAAAACTGCAAGTTTGAAATTCCATATCTTCGAATTAAAGCATTTTTCGATGTTGTGAGTGCCCAAACCGGTATTTGCAGGCCATGGCCACCAATTTGGCTATCTCAACTCAAAACTAATGTTAAGGTGGGAGTGTCCCTTTAAGGTGGGAGTGTCCCTTTAAAGGGACTATCCCACCTTCTAAAATGTTGTTAAAACCAGTTTAATTGTGCCCGACTTTATAGATTGGATGACCAGGAACACGGTTCTGGCATTTATTTTTCATTAAACATCTTAGGCTTCCCATATTCCAAACACAAACTTTCAAATATGTGACGTCACAGCCCAAAATTACCTCCTTCCCCAGGCCACATTACTGTCATAAAGCTGATTCTTTTTACTCTGTAGGCACCACAACAAAGTTCAGACCAAGTTTTAAGCGATTTTTCAACGAACAAACCCATTTAAATCAGAATGACTAAACGAGGTGACGTCACACTAACGGTCGCTCCATGTTGAAGATAGGGCCTTGCACAAGGCCCATTTTCAAATGAAGGGAACGAATTTCTTCAACACCAAGAGGCCGCGGGGGTTGCAACCTAGATAGATAGTGGTTTCTGAACCTCGCCGCAAACTTGGCTATCTCAACTCAAACCCCATGTTAAAGGTGGGATAGTCCCTTTAAGCGTAATGGTAGGTAAGATCGACTCATACACATGGAAAAATAACTCCAGTATCATATTACAGAATAAATAAGTACTAACGCAATCAATAGCTTATAAACGCTAGCTTTCTTCCCTACCCGGCCTTGCGCTAAACTGCGCTAAACCACCCACCCACTTACCAAAGCTGCGCTAGATGGCAGCAGTGTTAAGCGCCTGAAGATAGGCTGTTCCGCAGCGCACCTCCGCCGAGTCACACCGCTGCCGCTATGGAAATCAAAAAAGAAAGCCAGCAATCAGCAGTAATGACGGGCAGAGATAAATCTTGGTTTACCGATATTCTAACCTTAACGTCGTTTTCACAGAATCTCAGAATCGCTGTGCTTAGCCCGGAGGTGACCCGGCACTTTCTCGGCCTAGAACCATTCGCCGTAACCAGAGGCCGTGGAGGCAGCGCCATCCGTCTCGTCAATAGAGGATTCCCACGCGAGCCGCGGTCGGCGCCGCTCTATTCTGTGCGCGTGTGAAGGCTATTCCCGCCGACAGGCGACGCCGGCAGAGCGGCGACCGGCCGACGACTTAGGGCAGGAGTCTCGGACCGACCCTAAATCGCCCAGGGGCCGCGCCGCGTCTCAGAGCCTTCTCCGTACGCCCCCGCCTCAGCGGCGGGCGATGGTTTGGGTGGCATTTAAACTGGTGCGGTTCAGGGCAGAGAAACGACGCCCTCCAATTCATAATTTATGCCAAAGGGCTAGCAGCGTGTTGTAGCTTCTCGAAGGCCTGATTAGTCGAAATACGTAATGATTGGGAATTGGTTATGGTCTCAAATTAAGCCTCTCACGGCAAGGCTCATAGCACGATGAAGGGCTATGATTTCACCGCCTTCACCACAGGTCCACTATCGCTGAGATTTTCACCATCCTATCTCGACACCACCGTTCCGGCCACGAACGCCTGTACTTTGATAGCAGCTACAACCGCTATCGTCCCCGCAGTAGGGGCCATCCCCCTGCGCCCGGGCGACCCGCGGTGACGGTCTGACAAGCCCCGGCTGTCGCGGCCAGTCCGACTGGAATAACAATGGTCCCAATCAGAGCTCTCTCAGACGGAGGCGGCGGCAGAGTACGAGAACGATACGGACCGACGGACTGAACTGCTGAGGGAACGGTGAATATGTGATGGATGGAGAGAAACGGAACCAATGGGTCGGCTGGGTGGGTGTGAGACCGTTTAGAAGCTGCCTGTCTGTCGAGGCAAGAGAGGAATATCCAGCAAAAAAAGCTGAGCTACAAATTTAAAACTACCGGTACCTTGGCTCTATCTTTAGTCAACATCACACCCGAGTAACTATTTCAGTCCTAACTTTACGGTCATTCTTCACTTCCAGAACACCCAACCCTCCACCGCAACGTAGAAAAACAAATTACATGTTGCCCTATGACGTGTATTAAATGAAATCACAGCTAACTGGTGTACGTGCCACAAAAAAATAACTCCGTTCGTCTGTCAGGAAAAGGCCTGATTCCAACTACACAGGGAGCACCAATGTGTATCTATCTTTGCATCGCCACTGCACACAAAAGAAACATCGAGACCACAAGTCCGCACCGGACTTCGGGTCACTGGGCTCAGTGCTCACCGATCCACAAGGATCACTGCCGCACACGCTACAAATCGAAGACAAGGTTGCCGTCTAGGGTGCCACGGAACAGTGGCGTCACCTATTCCACTCGCCTCACATAAGGCGAGAAATAGATGGCGCCTCCGCACCGCACAGCCCACAGACTGCAAGCAACATTGGTGACAAAGGGCGCTGATACTTTCAGCGCATCTCCAATCAAGATCAGATGAATTCTGTACCGAGACGACCATCGAACGCACAACACGGGAGCAGCTGACACCAAGACGCCTGATACGGGTGCTGATAGAGACCGAGGAGAGACACGGCTTCACCACAGCTGAAGCGAGACTGGGGCAAAGCTCCATCGACGACTACATAACTGCGGGATAAGTGAACAAGCAAACCGACACCTGGTTGGTCGAGGCGGAAACGCAGCGAGCACAGCCTCCGGTTAGGCAAAAGCCTTGTTTATCATGTTTGGAACAGGCTAAGGTTGGATACATGGAGTAGGTTGGCAGCGGAGACCCATCACATTAAGCTGAGGTACATTATACTGATCTTGGGATATATAATTGCTTATCTCGACTCACGCGCACCCTGGTGTCGTGTCAGCTCAAAGAAGGTACGGTATTCAGCGTTACGGTTGCAGAGTTCTTTGTATTCTGCCTGACGAGCAGTATGACTGGCTATGACGCAGACTGCCAAAGAACTACACTTCACACAGCATTTCAGTCTTTCACTGCTCACATGAATCCTCAGGGACCGAGGGAGCCCCGAATCGAGGGCCGCTCCCCACTCTCCGACCCTCCCCACCCTCACATCGGTGGGCCGGTCACGGGCCGGGTCAGGTCAGGTCACCTCAGCCAACCACCGTCCTGATCGGGTGACCTCTTCTGACTCCTGTGCGCGACCTCTGGCGAGCGGCTGCACACCGCCCGCGTAATATCATGTCGCCAGTCCTGCTCTCTCCGCTCTCCGCGCGCGGCCAGCCCGGTCAGTGGGCGGATTTTTCCGCGCACCAGGAGGCCAGTCGGCTCCGGTGGAGGGGTGTCACCCCGCCCCACCGCCATCACTGTGGTAAAACTCGCGCTCCCGCCGCCCACCCGGCCGCCTCTCCTCCGCAGCCGGAGGAGCCTCCTCCTCCCCCCTCTCTCTGAGCTCGCTGGCCGCCGCGCTGCACCTCCCGCTCCATCCACGGATCGCTCTCTCTCCCTGCTCAGGAGAGGTAGGTGCGCACAGTGCCGCGGATCGGCTGCCGGCAGAGGGGGCAGTCGCGCAGCGCCGGCGCGCAGTTGACGCACGTGATGAGGTGGCCGCAGGGCAGGAACACCACGCCAACGTCCTCGTCCATGCAGACCTTGCACTGCTTCTGCTCTTTGAGGCGGATGTACTCTTCCTCGAGGGAGCCCGACTGGCCAGAGACGGGCGTCGAGCCGCCGCCTGGGGACGGAGGGGGGGGGGGGTCAGAGGTCAGTCAGAGGTCAGTGGGATGTCACTGGGTAGAGACGGGCGTTGAGCCGCCGCCTGGGGACGGGGAGGGTCGGACGTAAGTCAGGGGTACAGGGAGGGAAGGGGAGGCCCGGGGAGACGGTTTAGAGATTTTTATAGCACAATATGCTGGGGTGTTAACGACGAGATATGTTAGCTATCAGCAATATCCATCCCTATCAGCGTTATCATGACACCGATATTTGTAGCATTAGCAAGAGTTGAAGAATCACATGACAATGGCGCATTCTTTTCAGCTGAGCTCACTCTACATTTACACACTACCTTTCACATTCGCTTAGCCTTCCAACAGCGCCTGCCAAAGTACCCCTAAACCCGTCACCACTGGCTCAGCACCACGTCTCCGTTGGGCGCTCGCCAGGCGGCCGAATCACGCGGCGTCGGGCGGCTGTTTATCTCAGACCACCCTATCGTCTCTGTCTGGCGCCAAAGGGGGCGGATAGCGGGCCGGGCGGATAGCTCGGGCTCGGCGGGCGGCGATAGGCCGGCTTTGTTGACATCTGGCTGTCGGTACACAGACAGACATACAGACTGTCTGGTCAGCGGCCGTACCTGGGAGCAGCTTGGGCGTGTTGGCGCCGCTGTTGCTGCCGCTGCTGCTGCCGTTGGTCAGCGTCTGGGAGGACTCGTTACTCAGCTGGGAGGTCATGGCCACCTCAGACCTGGGGAGCGTTAAAAAAAAAACAACTGTCAGCGTTTGAGCAGCCATAGAAGTTACTAGCAGGAAGGCATGATCAAAGAAGACATGCAGTTTCAACATGACACAGAAAATGGCGAATGACTAGACAGTTTGCAGTCCCATGGTACAGCGAGCGGTCCCTGACTCATATCCCACTTGATGCCAATGCGAGCCGCCCCGTGACCGAACAATGCCTGCACATGTCACTCAGGCGGCCCACGCAGCGCACCGCCCCTCGCCGTGAATGCACCGCCCCACATTAGTGAATCAACCCCGCACAAAAGCCGCAGGAAATGAGCGTCTAGACAGCATTCAACTGGTTTAACGTGCGCAGCGCGAGTCAATTGCTGACACACATGACTCAGCCCCACCTAGAAACCACTACGATCCCCACTGCCGCTAAAACCTAGCCACCACTCGTTCAAACCTCTGACTGTTAGGAGACTGGGGGGTGACTGTCAGACACTGGCATAGGCCCCACCCACCCACCAGCCAAACCCTGCCTGTTGGAGGGAGGCCGCGCGGTCCGACACGTACCCCTGCGGCGTGGTGGGCTCGCTCTGCGCCTCCTCCATCTCCTCGTCCTGACTGCGAGCGTCCTCCATCCCCGAGTCGGCAGACATGGTGGACGCCGCAGAGAGGGTGGACGTGGCCCGGGCGTGGCCGCTGACTCCCGAGGCGCCCGCCGACGAGCTGGGGACACACGGGGGAGGGAGAGGTCAGCTCAGAGGTCAGTCAGGTCAGGTCGGGAGAACATAGTTCTGTAGTTCAGATGCATGGAAAACAGGGATGCGGAGCCGGAGCCGGAGTCGGAGCCGGAGCCGCCGGAGCCGGCATATTTTGCCCGGAGCCGGAGCCGGAGCCGGAGCCGTGAAACAATATAGCCCGGAGCCGGAGCCGGAGCCGGAGCCGCCAAAAAAGGGGGCGACTCCGGCTCTTTTTTATTTTTGAAGAGGAAAAAATAATTGACCTAGTTCGGTTTGACAGTACAAGGCAGTATAACATATGGTACTGTCATGGGCCATCAAGTGAATGAAAAAAGCCGAATATCCCCAGTATCCCACAATCAACTTCCTGTCTGCTCCTCCCCCCCCCCCCCACACGTCTACTGCATCCCCAGAACATGAGGACCGGTCATCAGGTGACGGCCATTGTTTTGAAGCCAGTGCAGTGGACTGCGACTCCCAGCACCGTCTCTTCCGACCCCAACTCCCCCCCCCCCCACCCCTCAATGCAGCCGAGACGGGTGTCAGCTTATGATGCAGGTTCAGTGAACTCCGATTCGCGGCGACTGCGTTTCCAATGCCATCGCTTCCTAGTCCTTTGTTCTACCAGTTCTCTCCGAGGTGCGTTTGCGCGGGGACGCGGTGAGCCGGTCATGGCCAAGAGTAACGCGTATAACCAATCCAATTTTTCTTCCACCCGCATTTAATTGATTGCATAGGGGATGTACTGAGTCGGAGCCGGAGCCGCCGGAGCCGGAGCCGCCGGAGCCGGACCATTTTACTCGGAGCCGGAGCCGGAGCCGGAGCCGCCATAACATTTCACCCGGAGCCGGAGCCGGAGCCGGAGCCGATTTTTTTCTCCGGAGCCGGAGCCGGAGCCGGAGCCGTCTGAAATATCCACGGCTCCGCATCCCTGATGGAAAATGATCAACAATTAATAGTGCATTGCAGACCCGAAATCATGAATATTTAACTGAAATTAAAAGACATATGACAATTTTTAGGCCGGACACCCAGCGCTGACAATGAAACATTGATTTAGCTGAAACACTATTGTGTTCGCCGACACGCCATACCAAATCGTCAGATCATGCCGACTCGTCATACCGACGAGTTTGATTCAGCACGAACCGAAACTGCACGGTTCAGTGCAAATCCAAACGTCAGCCACGTCTATTGTGCAAAATTGAGACGCGTGCAGGTCAAATAAACTGCGTGAAATTGAAGTTTGCTACCAAATTACGCAGCACATTGCCACTTCTTATCAACGTCCCTGACAAGGTCTCTCTCAAGCATCGAATCTGCCCACATTGAGCTTATCTCGCTAAAACCACCACCATATCTTCAAGTCACCTGATACTTATGGAGCTGATATCGAGCGGCCCGACCTTACCCCCTCCCTTACCTAGTGGGCGGCTGGTAGGTTACTTGTGTGTGACCCAAGCGACCTCAAGTGATCCCAGTGACCTCCAGTGACCTATCACTCACCTACTGGGCGGCTGGTCGCCTGTGTGTGGCCCCAGTGACCTCCAGTGACCTCCAGTGGCCCCCAGTGACCTCTGTCCTTACCTGGTGGGCGGCTGGTAGGTGGCCTGCGTGTGATCCACGGCCATGGCCAGCACCGAGCTGAGATCGGTGAACGGCAGACCGGTGGACTCGAGACGCTCCTTCAGGACGCGCTTGACAGCCTCGCGCGCCACGCCCAGCTCGACGGCAGTCTGCGGGCACAGGTGTGACGTCAGAGGCGCGCCGTGACGTCACCGGGTGACCGGGATATTCGGGGAGCGGCACTGCAGGGTGAGATAGGACCCACGGGTGTTTTTGGGAAGGGAGGGACCGTTCGACGGTAGGTGAGGTCAGGGCGGATGTCGGTATTGTTAGAAAAGGACGCTGATAGGAGCGGTGGGTGATATAGCGCCGAGTCAGGGTGCGTAATGCACAAGGCCGTTTCCACGGACACAGGATAAGGACGCAAGTTGAATCTTTAAAGATAAGACGGAAGCTGAATCAGTGATAGCAGAGGTCAAGTGGGGTACACCCAGCCGAAATAATGAACTAATGATAAACAACTGTAATTAATACATCGAATGCGCAACCGATACTGTCAAAGCCGACTGCAGACCAGACATCCCTGATATATAATCCATTCGTATCGACCTCCAGTATCAAATCGCAAAGCTGATACCAATTAGAACAAAGTTTCATAAACAAAAACATGCTCCATCGTCTCAGATTTAAGCCACTCCTAACAAAGCCGCCCACACCAGGCCTGCTCTCAACCTCTCTCCCGACCCATCCCTCGCTCTCTCCCGCTATGTCCTGCCTCACGCCCTCTCTCCTCGTACCTTGCAGATAGCGTCCTCCATCATTCTCTCGACCTCCTCGTCGGAGAAGGGTCTCCGTTTGACCTGTGTGTCGGCGGTGGCCGGCTGCTCTCCCTCCGGCGGCGCCTCCTGCGGCGGGTTGTGGCGCAGCACATCCTGGATGAAGTCCTCGCCCTTCACCAGCCTCAGGAAGCCGCAGCGGCTGAACCAGCGGGCGTGCTCGGTCCACGGATCGTCTCCGGGCACCCAGTTGCGCAGGCCGCCGTCGCAGTGGAAACACTTGACGTGGTCGGACACGCCTGCCGGAGAGAGAGGGGAGGGTTAGAGAGGTGAGGGGAGAGAGAGTGATCTCAGAGGGTGTGTGGGTGGATGGGGAGGGGTGAAACGGGTGGGGGGGGGGGGGGGCAGTGCACTGTGCAGTGTGTAACCCGCCACAGGCAGCTGCTGACGGGAGACCACTTCAGCCAGGTGACTCAATAGGACACAGCACCGGTTGGCAGGAACTAAAATAAAAGGAGCTTTATATTCAAACTGAACGCCATTTGAAATTAACAATATGGCAAAAGATGATTGTGTTAAAACAAAGACTAGGGACTAGGGAAAAACACAAGTGTGGTAAATGTTAAGCCTCTAAACCTTTCGCTACGTAACTTCTCACTCTACGCGTTACTTTCCATCATGCCAAGTTCAGTCCACCCCGCCTCCTCTCCCACTCCTCCCACCGCCGCGTTGTGTCGCAGCTGATGCTCACCTCCCCCCCCCTCGTCGGGACCGCCGCAGCCCCCCCCCCCCGTCGGATCGATGCCAGAGAAAGGCCACGTGTCCCTGGCGCGCTGAGTCACCCCATCTCCCAGGTCTGGGCCCCGCAGAGGAGCCAGCACGGAGAAATACGTCTGCTCGACTCCGCTGAGGTGCCCCCCGGTCCAAACTCTGCTCGGAGAACGGTCCAGCAACGCTCCATCCGGAGACCTTTGGACATCCCCATGTTACAACACGTTGATAACGCACATGCGCACGCGCTGGAGACGGTCTTTCTAGAACGAAGATAAACTAAATCGAGGACGTTGGTCGCTGGCCAAATGGTTGCCTAAGGTTTCGATAAGGACTTGGGCCAGACGTTTGATTCTGTGAAATAAGCAATCTCCCCCAGAACGGAGCAGATTTCCTGGGAGTTGAGACGGAGAACCGGCATGTGCCGGCTTTTAACGTCTGGGCTGCGTCACTTATCACAAACCGAACTCAAACTGGAGGTCACCACCGACCGGCGTATTCTAGAATGTGTCGGGGAACACGAACACAGCATGTGACAAACTAGTTGGCTTCGGACAGGCAGGCAGCTGTCGTGGTTAAATCGACCAGCAACATCTGCACGAATAGATAGTAAACGGCGCAAATATGAATACTGAACATGATAAACAGATGGTCAATTTAAACAAAGGATTGCACAGCTGCCGTCGGGCAGTGCAGGCCCCGGGTCAGAATTAGTGATCCACACTCCACAGCCTGTCAAGCTTTGTTTCCTGCGCACGTGGCACGTGGTCGGGACAACGGCCGGCCGTCCTCTGCGCTGTCCTATCGATCCCCCGACCCGGCGGCCGGTGCTTCCAGGCCACCGGCGCCGGTAAACATAGGAAGATACCGCCGGAGACTCAACAAGACGACACAGTGACCGGTCAAAACTCAGCGAGATAACAGCTCGAGAGGCTTCGAGAGGAGCTGAACAGAGCGGAGCTGTCCAATCGACCATCGACCATCGACTATCGACCATCGACCGGGCCACAGTGGCTGCAGGTTATCGATTTGTGTCAGCTGTAACAGCGGGAGACAGAGCCACCGACCGACCGCCGGCGGCCGCGTGGTTTTCCATTTTATAGATCGCGCACTGTTCAATATTAGACAGACATAGACGGGCAACAGCAATATAACATCATCCCACTTATCTCCTTCAGATATTGGTTTGAAAGAGTAGGCGCATAAAAATGCACAATCTTTCTGGGATATTATGAGCTTGTAACACCTACTCTACCCTACGCACCTGGCAGCTATGATCTGCAATGCAACACCATATGGACCGAAAGACATCTATTATTAGACAGGAATATGAGGTGACGTCACTTTTGCGACATAGCTTTCCCCTAACGCTCCCACGCCCTGCCCACGTCCGCCCAAACCGGTTCGCCGAAAACAAACATGACGTAAGCGTCCTCCAACCAGTTCATGTGACCTTGAGCACCGCCGGGCGGCTGGGCCCGGTATGCCAATATGTGAGAAACCTTTCGCTTGTGCCTTTAAACGTAAAGAGCTTAAAGTTTGAGAGAGAGAAACCAACATCCTGCTACCGAACACTTAGCCTTGGCTAGCCAATAAGTCGTGTAGCCAAAATCCGCACTCTTTGGCATAATTCCGCCCAGGTTTTGGCTTCTCCAACAAAAGCCGTCTGGCTCGGCTTGGCGAGTTGCCAGGGCGCTGCCGGAGCCTCTCGGGCCAGGCGGCGGCCCGAGGGGCATTCCTCGGGCTGCGGCTGTCGCGCCGCTCGCCACAACAGAGCGGCGGCGGCGGCGGCCGGTTCGGAGGGACGCGCGGCGGAGCCGGTCGGCCCTCGGCCGGCGCCACCGCATTCCGCCAGTCACACACCGCTGTGACGTCATATCCGTGTCACGGCGGCTGCGCCTGGTTGGCCGTGAGTGACGTCACAAAATGGCCGCCGGGCGACGTCACACCATACCGAGAAACGCTCAGGGATCAATAGAGGCACGGCGCCGACACCATAGGGGCTCTGGAAAGCTCGGGTCACACCGGCCATCTAATGGAAATTTTATCCCATGGCCGCCGCTGCGCAGCGCTCAGTCGCATAATGAATGGCTGACGTCATTCAGGCTTCCCCACAAAAAGGAGATTTCCTTCTTAGCCTGAAAAAGAAAGCAAATATTGAGTACGAATAAGGCTTTGCGTTATTATGCGAGAACGATTATAAGGGAAAACGTCACTTCCCCGCGGTAAGCGACAGGGACAGGGATAAAGCCCTCGGGATTATTCTGTGACGGAGTCCAACAATACAGCATCGCATAAGTCCCTTTCCATGGGTCCAAGGCCGCGTGAATTCAATGGCGGGGCCACCACTGGCTACGAGCGTGTTGCCCAACCACCGCATGGTAGGATGCATTGTGCAATGTCATGACGAGAGAGGCTAAAAGATACTTCGAGTTGACGGTTGCAGGGTGGACCGAGAGTCACTGTTCTAAAAGTGGCCTACGTGACCTTCAGATAATGAAGAGGGGCTAATTGAATGTGGAGTGAAATAAAGGAAGAAGGAAGCTTGGGAAGTTCCCAGGTTTAAAGTAAAACCAAATTTGAATTTGCGAGAGGTCAGACTGGTCGTGGGTAAGACACCGTTCCCGGTCAGCGGACAGGACAAAGAACTCAATTACATCTGCGACTCCACTCTCTCACTCCGGCTAATTACACCTCAGTATCGTGCATGTAATCATAACGCCGGGTCCCGTGACGGCCCTCACTGGACCGGGGCTCCGCTGGGAGCGTCGGCCTGTCCAGCAGTCTATCTCTCCCAGAGGTACTCCCCCGGCCCGGCCTCGGAGTCTGACCGGGCGGCGAGGCCTACATTGCTGCACTGTGCAGTGTGCAGTGTGCACTCTGCACTGTGCAGCGGCAGTAGTGCCGGGTGGTCCACTGGACGTCTGAGTCACCATCACGGGACTGGACGGACCGGACACGGGGCGCTGAGCCAAGGTCGGACCGCCGAGCTGGGGCCTACAGGACGGCCGCACCGACAGAGGGGCTTCGAAGGCAGTCACAATGGTGACAGGGCTTTCAGTGGGAGCCGAGCTTTCAGTGGCCGTTTAACTGGTGGCAAAGCTTTCAGAGGCGACAGGCCTTTCTTCGCCAACATAGCTTTCAGCGACAGCACAGCCTTCATCTGGGCTTGTACCGCCGATAAGGACGAACGAAGACAGGGACGGACCAGTCCAACACGTCCTCAGAGGCCGATAGACGCAGCGGACGGTGTGGTCCACCTGAAACCAGCGTCACAAATCACGTACTCTCCACTACGCTGCGAGCAACGTACCGTGTGCAACACAAAGTCAACGATCGAGTTTCGTCACCGTTTACACGGCCGCATTGCAATGGTTGTTTTCCTGGATGTGTCCACGACATCCTTCGCACCTTTCTCTTGGACCCCGATGTCGCAAACCCTCACACATCATATGTCAATAGCACAGTCTGTGCTTATAAGGGGCGCAAATACAGCGTTCTCAAAACAGTCTGCTTGCATCACGTCTCAGAAGCAAGCAGGACAATGCTGGATCGGACAGCTCACCGATGGAAATGCAACACGTCATTGCAAATTGGAATATAAAACAGAGAAACTTCCCCTGCTTTCCGTTGTGGAGGGATGTGGATACCAAAGCCCCTCAGTCATCAGCCGGAAACTGCCGATGACACGATACCTGAGCGATACCTGGGCGCCGGGTGAGCCAGTTTCGCCAAGGTGTCGTTGCCAGATTAGCTGGTAACAGCGTAAATCGGCCATGACGCCACGACTCTCCGGGGAAATGGCCGCGAGCCATGGTCATTGCGCATATTTGCCAATATTGGTCATACGCATTACAAGGGCTGGTGCGCCGTTCTAGGCTGGTCGGAACTACATAAAAACAATGCAAGTTGCGATAATCGATTGAGAACAAAAGTAAACGCTGAGAATTTTCGTATTGTTGTATGCTCCATCCAATGACAGTCTTATGGTAAGCAAGATCATGATTCAAGGATCAAATTTTAGCAAGTAAAAGAAAACTAAGAGCTTGTGACAAATACCACGATGACTTAGGCTTATGGCGCTTGGACTGCATAAGCCATCCGCGCCTCCATGGAAAGATTATACTTGAGGTGAGCATTCATAAAAATATGAAGTTATAAGAAAGAGATGTGGAGAGTGGCATATACCACAGGAACCCGGAATAACCACTTCAGTCAGACAGGTTATGAAACAGCCAGAACAAACCACAATCACGAAGCCAGTTGGCTCCCTCCGTGGATTTTCCACCTCTAACCGCGACAACCTCAGGTCATTCCAACAAGGATCTGCAGTCTGCGCCGCTCAGACCTTCTCGTTCATCCCTCCCGTCCAAATCCCCCTCTTTCCCCATATGTCCGTCACCGCGTGATAAGCTCGCCCGTTGAGCTGAGTAAGAGCCTGTGTCGTGGCCGACAGCTGCGCCGTTCACTGCGCAGTGCGCCGCGGTACGCCGCGGGTGACAGCTGTCTGTCGCCAGCTGGGCCGGTGCCACACCGTCCCCTCCCCCTCGCCCCGGGAGCGCCGCTACCCTTCCCCGCCGCGCACCCCTCCCCAGGGCCTTCCCCTGCGCACAAACGGTAGTGTGGAGAGAACTACCGCGGCTGCCCGAGCCGACCACCTGCACGGTCCCAGCTGCCCTTCCTCGCATACCACACAAACACGCACAGACTCCCGCGGCTCACCTGCGTAAAAGAAGCCGGCCTCGGCCAGCTGCCTGGGTTTCTGCGCCAGCGCCGGTGGCCAGTACTGGTAGCTGCGCAGCCGGCTCTCCACGGTGGCATAGCTCGGGTGGATGGGCGCCTGGTGTTCCGAGATTCCCAGCTGCGTGAGGTCGCTCGTCTGCTCAGATCCCAGCGGCGTCTGCACGTTCATGTGACTCGAGGTCAACCGGCTGCATGGCGCTGTGAACGGGAGAGGGTAGGTTAGAGCGAGTGAAAACACAGTGGGGAGAAGAAACGGGCGAGGGCCTTGGAGAGAAAGAAAGACGGCACGTGCCAAATAAAAAGGTCGTTACGCCCTTGATTACACCAACGCGGATCTGGGTACACCAATCTTGGTTAGACCTAAGGAAAGTCAGTGAAATGTCAGCATGATCACATCAGGAAAAGGATGCGCTTAGGTATATTTCTCCATCCGAAAATGCACGGTTCGTGACTGTGATCCACCAGAGCGTTATGCAACGGCGGTCGGTCGGTTTCATATTGCCAAATACCGGCACGAACTGGTATCAAGCAGCGCCACTGAGTTCAACACGATCCCAGAAACGATCGATGAAGCACCGATGACGCATCCATCAACTCGAACACTTGTGTAACTTTAAACAGCATCCCAGCCGGTCCAACTCCGCTTTGGCCATCGGCCGCTCGGATTCCCGCCAAGGCCGATCAAAGTCTCGCCCGGGGCAAGGGCGAGCCAAGGACGCACGCAGCCGATACGCTACTCTCGCCAGAGAACAACAGTGGCCAATTACGGCGCTATGCGGCGTGGCCCGGCGTCACCGCCACAACAACGCACTTCGCCGCCGGCGCTGCTGACGTTACAGGGATGGGCCGGGAGGAAATAGAGACCCATAACTGGCCCGGCGGCGGGCTGCAGCGGCTGGATGGAAAACGCAGTCGGCTGGAGAGAGCCGGCGACCCAGTTCGGCCGTCCCGTGAGAGGGGGTGTGCGGTGACCGTTAAACGAGCACGTGACCTCGGCCCACCGAACTGGGCTCTATCACGTGAGCTGAGGCCAGCGAGCTGCGCTCTCTCACCTGACCTCGTCCCAGCGAGCTGCGCCCTATCACGTGACCTGCCTTATTAACCCGAGTGCCCGAGGAAAACATCCATCTGTCTGAAGCTTGAACAAAAACAGCCGCCAGGTCGCCGGCCAATGTCAGAGAGGACTCTAAAAACGGCCGACCGCCAGTTGGCAGACGGGGTGCGGTGGGCGCGGGGCGACCCACTCGCGGTGACGAGTGGGTCGCCCCGCGCCCGCACCTGGCGGCAGCCGCCCCCGCCCCCGCCCGCGCCGGGCCGCCCCCGCCCGCGCCGGCGCCACATGTCGAGTTTCCCCAGCCGCCCTGAAGCCCCACAGCAGGATCAGAGGCGCCAGAGAGGTGGTAAATGATGACACAGATCCTCCAGAGAAGCCTGAGAGGTCTGCTGTTCTACGACCGCAAACGAAACATCAGCTGAACGAACTGGACTAGAATTCATATATGGCTTCCACTGGGGTCGAGTTATCGAGAACTCTGTCCTCGGTACCATGAGAGATCCGATTGCCACGCTGCTGCCCTAAGGAGGCCCGCCGCCAGTGACTAACGCCAGCGTTCCCCGAAAGTCGCTCTCACCGGAGGGTGACGTCATCGCTGAAATGAATGACTAGAGCTGCGGGATATGAGGCTCGTCCGGGCGGGCGGCGCGCCAGGACGCCGTCACAGCCCACTCGAAATAGCGCAGACACACTCAGGAAAGTGGCACTCACCCAAACGCGGTAAACGTCACCAACCCGGGACGACCGACGCGTCGGAATTATGAAAATGAATGCGGGCATGCGGGCTCGTACCCACGCTTTTTTGCGCAATGATTATCAATTATTCATAAAGAAAGGTCTATGAACGCAATTAAATGCTACGACCCATATGCACTATGCAGTCACATGACGACTAATCACTAAATATTTACAGGGAGCAGGTTGAAATGCATCCAGGGTATAGTGAATTAGGAATGTATCTACGCCGCGGCGCCGGTCCCGAATTCTGCCACTCTACCGCCGGCTCGGTCACCTTGGCTGCGTCAACAGCGGAGCCGCGCCGCCGCCGCCGCCGCCGCCGAGCCGCCATCGCTCGGGCGGCGGCGGCGCTGACGAGCCAGCCGCCCGCGACGAGCGCACGCCGCCCGTACATCATTTACAGTCTCTGTGCAGAGGCGGTCCCTGTCGCCGTCACGCCCGCGACAACGCAGCCGCGCGCCCATCCAGGGCAGGACAGCGGACATTACCCAACGCCGCTCCGCTGAATTCAGCGGTATAGTTGGGCACCAATTGGCGCCCTCGATGTGAGAATTAGGCCGGGCGGACGGACAAAGAATCTAGTGATGGCCAGTGTGCGAGCGTCCTTTTGTCCAGACGTGCGTTCGCAGCCTCGGAGCGGGGCGGAGGGGAGGTGTCCGAGCGTGCACCAGATATACGAGTCCACTCCAGATGGGAGTGTGCTGGAACACCCACCCCGGTCACGGCGGAGGGGCACCAGTGACCTCAGAGCGGGAGGGGCAGGGAGCGGAAACTCGCGGTTAGGGACGGCCCGCCGGTGACCGCGCCGGTCGATAGGTGCTGTGGAGCACTGCACTGCGGCTCCTGCAACAGGAGAAACCCACCAACCGGCCGGCCGACCGGGTGAACTACCGGATCGCACCTCACGTCCGTTACTAACGGGAGCCGTGGCTGGACGGTACGGGCCGTGGCCCGTGCTAAAGCAGGCACAGGGTTTCAGGAAGATAGGGCCATTTCGCGACACAACACTGGTAAGAATGTACCCAGGTGTGTTCCGCTCGCGGTCACTGTGGGCGTCAGTGCGAGGCGATACGACAGCTCTCACCTGGCCCGGCTCACGGGCGGCCGCCCCCGCTCCCACAGTCCCATTTACGTCTCCGCCGAGCGCAGCCGAGTGCCGACTGCCGAGGCCAGGTTTTCACCGCAGCGAGAGGACCGGCGCAAAAACGACTCACTGGAATGCCACGTCAGACACTCTGCTACCTGGCCCGCCCGGCCGCCCACCAGAGCCGGTCGCGGGAGGGACGCGGGTAACGGTGGGACAATAGTGCCGTGACGGTGGATGGGTGGGGCGGCGCCGGTACCAGCACGGCACACTGGCACGGCGGCGAACATCAGTAGCAGCGGGGGCGGGGGAGCATTAGTGCGCGGAAGCCGCCCACAGAGCTCCGAGCCTTGCTCACGCGTGAATTGGGCGCCGCCGTCCTGTACCCCCTCCCCCCCCCCCCCAATGCTGAGTCATGCACGCACCACACGCACGGAACCACGCAATGCGGCGAGACCGGCCCGAGTACCACAACAAGCCGAGGGCGGCGGTGGCTCGCGTTTCATATCCCAAGGTGAACCGACTACACCGGTAGCAAACATAGCACACGCTTAGTCAAAACATGTCAGTGAGCTGGGCGCGTGAACTTTTGGAGCTATCCACAAAAAGAAGATTCCTTACCGGAGTCAAAGGAAAACACAAATTTTAGGAGTTGGTTCGAAACAGAACCATGAGTTTCCAACATGGGAACATCGACCAGTCGAGGGTCTGGTCTGTCTGAGGTATTGGAACGAACTGCGAACTAAAATGCACAAAATAAGCCGGATAGCTCTATGAATTCCAGAGAAAGCGTCTCAATCCATGATTGGAGCGCTAAGGCTTTAATCCAAAGCGAGGTCAGCCATCAAAGAACCAATAACCACTTTTATCTTCGAGTTTATCGGCTACGGCGTAGATTGCAACGTCAATCAAGATCAACTGTGCAAGCCTGTCGCCCTTTCAATAGGAATTTTATGGCTAGAATCTGCATATCCACAGGCAATATGCCGAACCACTAATCCAGCACGGCAACGCTTCAGCAAAGAGGCTAGTTGTAAGTACGTGCATTTTGCGCTCACTTTAGACGCGTGCCAAAAATGCAAACAAAACAATACACATACCTACAAAACGTCGTCCCAAGTGGTCCAGAGACTTTCTACATAGAAAGAAGCCGTTCATAGAAGAAGCCGTTCATGCATGCGCGTTCTATTCAAAGTACTGAGGCTATCAGTTCATCACTGGGTTTTCCACTGCTCTCAGCATCCTTTCCCGCCGTGTCCCTGTTCTGTCCCTATCCGCCAGAAACCGCTGTCCTTCCGGTGGAGTTCCGGTCCCAGTTCTGAGCAAAAGACCCTCACGACCTCAAAGCGGCTGGGAATGTCCCACCACAGACCACACAGATCCTCCTCGAGCTTCCCCTACCCCGGTCACCAGGCACGTGATAGGACGCCTGTATGTGTCACGCGGCGCCCCGTGACACCCGTCACGTCAGACCCGTCACGTTCCGTCACGTCCCCCTCAGCGGAGTCAGCGGCGCCGACACGGCGGCGCCGGCTCGGCGGCCGGCCGGTCTGAACGCCCCCGGGCGCCAGGTCAGGTCAAAGGGCAGCCGGAGGTGCCACGGGCACACAGAGAGCGGGGGCCGTTGCGGCCGGCAATATTGGCTCGCCGTATCCGGAGCACGCTATCGGACAGGCCGACGGTGTGACAACAAGGCTCGGTATGGCTGATAGGAGAGTGACGCCCGGCCGGAGCCGGTCTAAACCGGCAGCGGCGGCGCTAACGCTTAGAGGTGGCGGCCGTATGAGCACGAGGTTTGAGCATGCGTCCCCTCTCTGCAACCGGGATATAGAGACTGGGGAGTCCAGATGTTAGGCCATGTAGTTCTGGAAGCACGCGGAGATGTTCAGAGTTCACACTGATGCACGCCACTGGTACATGATGTTATGACCGTCCGGGATAGACTTTCATCACGCCATATAAACAGCATCAGCTGACGAGCTGCTCGCTGCTAAGGACAGGACGGCAGGAGATTGGCAATAACAGGCTGGTTTTGTCATCACATTCGGCGTCACGATCGATCAACTTGCGATACTCCTTCAGTAAGTGCCGCAAAAAAAAACAGCTGATGTCAAAAACTACGAACAAATTACACGTAAGAAGTGGATATCAGCTATGAGTGATCCATACTAAAGTAGATAATTTATCATTATTTCTTTAAAATATGAGAAAATTTTGGCAAGAGGATTAGATATTCATGGGCACTACAAAATCTTAACTCCCCATATTCCCAAACCCAATTACGGCGTTTAAGAACAGTTCCACTTTCCAGCTGAACGACGCCCACGAGCCAAAACCGTGCACTGATTCCCACCATCCACACCCGACCCGCTGTTCCCTCCCACCCCTCTCCGGTCCCCGTTCTGTACTCACACGACTCCGCCACGGAGCGCGTCCTGTAGTCGATCCGGTAGCCGACCTCGTCCTCCCCGCCCAGCTGGACGTTCTCGCGCAGCGTATCGTCCAGCTCGCCCTCCGAGTCCGAGCTGCCATCGTCCGGCACGTTACCCACCTCGCAGCCACGCACAAACGGACACTGCGGGAAGTGGCGGCTGTGCTCCGTCATCGGCACGTCGCCCAGCTCCCAGCCGCCGACAATGCCCCGGCAGAATATACACTGCGCCTTGTCACCGTCGTTCAGCGAGAAAAATCCGGCACGCGCCAGATCGTCCGGCGATATAAAGTCCACCGGCCACGCGCCAAAAGTCCGCCGCCGGTGGCGCTCGCTCTTGAGGAGTCTGAAGGCGTCCCATGAGCGCGGCGCGCCGGGGGCGGCCGGCGTCGCGCTGCCGCCGGTCGCCAGAGGGAACCGGAAGCCCGAGCGCGGGCTGGTCGAGGCGGCGCTGCCCTGCGAGCTCGGCGGCGACTGGCTGCTGCTGTAGCCGCTGTCGTGCGCCGGGATCGGCGAGCCGCCGCCCCCGCCCCCCTCCAATAGGGGCACGTTATCGGAGCGGTGCGTGACGAACGGGCACTGCGGATAGAGCCGCTGGTGCTTCAGCATCGCCTGCTCGTTGAACTGCCAGTCGTCGACCGTGCCGCCGCAGCTGAAGCACTCGACGCGGAACGGCGGACCGCGGTAGAAGAAGCCGGCCTTGGCGAGTCGTTCCTTGGGCACGGGCGCGTTCAGTGGCCAGCTCGAGAACGTCGCGAGGCGGTTCTTCTCGTAGCGCATGTTGGACGGGTCGGCAGTGAGCCGAGTCTGGCCGTGCACAGAGCCCCGGTTCGGCGCCATACTCACAACGGCAGTCCCGCGACTCAATATCAGGTTACTGGTCATGCGAGCGGGCGCCCCTATCAGAGATCCATCCTGACCTCTACACTGCACAAAGTTCAGACAACAGTTGACGTTAGGAAACAGTTTGGCTGGCTTGAGTTTCAGGTGACTAGAGTTGTGGTTTGCTGTTCTGAAAAAGACCAAATAAGACATAAGTCAACAAAGGCTGCCAGAAGAGATCCAATTTTAAGGCCCAGCATGGCAAATGCTTTACCTACAATATTTGACGATGATTTACACACAGTATTTGATGGAAATGAATACATTATTAGTGGGGAAAAGGGAAATAAGGATGGCAAACAATCACACAGTGAGATAAAATGAACAAAACACTCTTATACAAATGAGCTTACATTTAGATTGAATCAGTTACAGCAAAATAAGGCAATGAAAGCTACTAGTTTAGCTTTTGGTTTTCATAATGTAGGTAATAGGTATTTACACAAAATTGAGATCCATCTAAAAAAGTACACAGGCAAAGACAATGATTTACACTGGCACAGGTCTTTTGATAACGATTCTTTTACAGTCAATGGAAAAGGACTTCATCCTAACAATAAAATAGCATTCCTCTGTCAGTTCTTGGGACATTAGCTCACTGCGTGCTACGCAATGATATTCTGTTTCTTGAATAAATTGTCAAGCTTTGAGCACAAGTTAAGCCCACAAATCAATTATAATTATTGACCCAGGATAAAAGTTTCAATCGATTTATCTGTAGGTACATCATTTTACAATAATGGCCACAGCCCCTCCCAAAATACAGAGCGGCTGCCAGCCATGGCCAGGCTGACATAGCAAACACTTATAACTTGGATAACTAGTCTCCCGCACACTTTTTTAATAAGATACACCTTAAGAATGTAATTTGTTGGGGGAAAAATCAGGAAATACGACTAGACAGCTACTTCTATGTGAATTATAACGGCCAGCTGCACACAATGGTGAGAAGTGCAGCGAATGTGGCGCAGGGAGAGTCACAGATTCTTACCTTACAACGCTTAGCTGCGGCTTCCCACTGGTTGGACGCCTTTCAAAGCAAAATTCAAATCACTTTCTTGTACACAGCACCCGCGGAATGATCCCACGCACCCACCCTCTATCCCCCGAACGCCAGCGAACACTGAGTTCCAGGGGGCGTCGAAGTCTAGTTCCTACCAACCTGGCACTCCCATGCCTACGTCACCACGAGGACGCCCGAGGGCATTTACATGTTGAAGATAGGGAAATTGCCATAGTTTAGAGCCGCCTGGAGGGCAACCTTGAGATAGATGATAATGTAAATGTGTGCTAATATGATCATCAACATGTTATTTATCCAAATCCAGGGCCAATTAATCGATATCTTGTCACGTTTTCCAGTGGTGATGCGCTAACTTTCGTGGTTCTTGCAGCCAATAAGGGTGTTTCGTAGTGCGATTCAGCCGCATTATCGACTTAAATGCCATAAACCGCCACGGAACATATGATTTGCAGCTCCCTGGCGTGATAGCTGCCAGTAGGGCTCCGGAGTCGGAGTCATGAAGTCGGTCGGAGTTGACAGTTCTGACCTGAGTCGTCGAGTCGGAGTCAGAGTCGATTTTAAAGGCTGGAGTCTGAGTCAGTCACCGAAATTAGATCCCCTCCGCAGACCTTTCAGGGTTCCGTAGTCGGAGTTGTAGTCGGTCGGAGTCGACAGTTCTGACCAGAGTCAGAGTCAGAATCGATTTTGAAAGCCAGAGTCGGAGTCACCAAAAATTCATTGCCTCTGCAGACCTGCTAGGGCTGTGGAGTCGGAGTCGGTCAGAGCCGACATTTGAAATCAAAGTCAGAGTTTATTTTTGAAAGTCTGAGTCAGAGTCGGAGTCATCAAGAAATCCATGGACGATCCGCAGTACCATGCAGTAAAGGCGCTGCCCATCGATGCCCTGAATTGCCTATGATTTATGAATTGAATGAATAGATGGCAATTAATTAGGTACCTGCTATTATTAATCCCTTGCCACTTGGAGAACTTACTTTCAGTAGAAAAAGACGCATTATTTGTTTGTTTATTTATTGACAAATATTTTTGAGCAGTTAGGGATACAGACACAAAACACAATGATAGCCACCTCGCTGGTGCAAATCATTGCTAGATAGATGTTGAAATGTGTTGCCATTGAAGAATCTGCTGATTTTCCTGGCGGCTCTCGTTTTCAAGTAACTACTGGTCTTGTAAGATCTCTTGATTGCTCACCGTCTGGCGTATAGTTCCAAGGTTTTCTGAAAGCTAATCAAACGTTATCATGGCTGCTCTTGATGGCATGGCGCTTGCTGGTTCTGGGCTCTTTATTGGTGGTTCTTGCGTCTGATCCTGTTGCTTTATGTTCCAGCATATCACATTAAATTTATAATGGAACAGACACTTCGGTATCGGTAACCCTGGCGTCACCGGTAGCGTTTTCGTTCAAGGTTAAGGTTTCCTGTATTAGGCAGTATTAGGCCTACGTGCCAAGCCGAAGCATGCTGTGACGTCACTGGGTAAGAGAACGTACCACGCTATCAGTATCGAGTATCGACTGAGACTCAGATAGACTCAGAACGACTCAGGCAGACTCAAACTAACTCAGACCGACTCAACCGACTCAAATAGATTCCGATCGACTCAGACCGACTCAGAACGACTCAAACTGACTCAGACCGACTCAACCGACTCAAATCGATTTCGATCGACTCAGACCGAATCGGAACGACTCAACCGACTCAAATAGATTACGATCGACTCAGACCGACTCAGAACGACTCAAACTGACTCAGGCCGACTCAACCGACTCAAATCGATTCCGATCGACTTAGACAGACTCAAAACGACTCAGGCAGACTCAAACCGACTCAGGCAGACTCAAACTGACTCGACCGACTCAGAACGACTCAAACTGACTCAGACCGACTCAACCGACTCAGATAGATTCCGATCGACTCAGACCGACTCAGAACGACTCAAAATGACTCAGACCGACTCAACCGACTCAAATCGATTTCGATCGACTCAGACCGACTCAGAACGACTCAAACTGACTCAGACCGACTCAACCGACTCAAATAGATTCCGATCGACTCAGACCGACTCAGAACGACTCAAACTGACTCAGACCGACTCAACCGACTCAAATCGATTTCGATCGACTCAGACCGACTCAGAACGACTCAAACTGACTCAGACCGACTCAACCGACTCAAATAGATTCCGATCGACTCAGACCGACTCAGAACGACTCAAACTGACTCAGACCGACTCAACCGACTCAAATAGATTCCGATCGACTCAGACCGACTCAGAACGACTAAAACTGACTCAGACCGACTCAACCGTCTCAAATCGATTCCGATCGACGCAGACAGACTCAGAACGACTCAGGCAAACTCAAACCGACTCAAGCAGACTCAAACTGACTCTATTTGAGTCGGTTGAGTCGGTTTGAATCTGCCTGAGTCTGTCCGAGTCGTTCTGAGTCTTTCTGAGTCGCTCGGAATCGAGCTGAATCAGTCTGAGTCTGCCTGAGTCGGTTTGAGTCTGCCTGAGTCTATCTGAATCGGCCCGAGTCTGCCTGAGTCGGTTTGAGTCTGCCTGAGTCGTTCTGAGTCTTTCTGAGTCGCTCGGAATCGATTTTAGTCGGTTTGAGTCTGCCTGAGTCGTTCTGAGTCTGTTTGAGTCTGCCTGAGTCATTCTGAGTCGGCCTGAGTCGCTCGGAATCAATTTGAGTCGGTTTGAGTCCGCCTGAGTCGTTCTGAATCGGTCTGAGTCGATCGGGATCGATTTGAGTCGGTTGAGTCGGTCTGAGTCAGTTTGAGTCGGTCTGAGTCAGTTTGAGTCGGTCTGAGTCAGTTTGAGTTGTTCTGAGTCGGTCGAGTCAGTTTGAGTCTGCCTGAGTCGGTTTGAGTCTGCCTGAGTCGTTCTGAGTCTGTCTGAGTCTGCCTGAGTCATTCTGAGTCTGCCTGAATCGCTTGGAATCGATTTGAGTCGGTTTGAGTCCGCCTGAGTCGTTCTGAGTCGGTCTGAGTCGATCGGAATCGATTTGAGTCGGTTGAGTCGGTCTGAGTCAGTTTGAGTCGGTCTGAGTCAGTTTGAGTCGTTCTGAGTCGGTCGAGTCAGTTTGAGTCTGCCTGAGTCGGGTTGAGTCTGCCTGAGTCGGTTTGAGTCTGCCTGAGTCGTTCTGAGTCTGTCTGAGTCGATCGGGATCGATCGGAATCTATTTGAGTCGGTTGAGTCGTTCTGAGTCAGTCTGAGTCGATCGGAATCGATTTGAGTCGGTTGAGTCGGTCTGAGTCAGTTTGGGTCGTTCTGAGTTGATCTGAGTCGATCGGAATCTTTTTGAGTCGGTTGAGTCGGTCTGAGTCAGTTTGAGTCTGCCCGAGTCGTTCTGAGTCTATCTGAGTCAGTCAATACTGATAGCGTGGTACGTTCTCTTACCCAGTGACGTCACAGCATGCTACGGCTTGGCACGGTGGCCTAATACTGCCTAATGCAGGAAACCTTAACCTTGAACGAAAACGCTACCGGTGACGCCAGGGTTACCGATACCGACACTTCTACCTTTTATTTCACTATCAATCGACTTGCATTTACCCCTGTGGCCTGCTGGCCCTTTTATTTCCACGATAGAATCTACCAATTATTGAAAAAGCCTCGGATAAAAAAGCAAGAAAAGTATGTCAAGTTAAATAATTGCGACGGCCCTAGAAAACCAGAAAAAAATATCAAACAGTCTGTCCATCTCACTCCCATCACTTCATAACAAAAACACAAACCACGCAGCTGCCACGCAGCAAAACATGCGAAAGAGTCCTTAGCAACGCCTTAGCAACGCATTTGTCCGAAGTGCGCAATATGTGTCACATCTGGAAAATTTAGTAGCTACTTGATTATTCAACTAGAATTGGACTATATAAGCTAGGCTTTTATATAAAAAATAAGTGTTTGCTTATCGAATCTATAGTAACTGGTAGCTTAACTTCGAAATAATGATTTATTACAGAAAAAGCTTGTTTGCGACATATTTGTAAAGAAACAACGGAAATAGCTTTGACTCGTACGCTATTCTAGTACATTTTTGGTAGAAAACTTCGTCCAACCTTATGTTTTAGGGCCTTGCTGAGTTCCCCTCCAGAAACCAACCAGAAACGCCGCGTGATTTTGACGCGAGATGGCGTTATCGTACGGCCTTGGCGTTATCGACAAACGCCCAGCGCCAGGCCAAGGGTTGGGCTTGGGTTGGGCCGGTTGGGCTAGAATGCTTGGCGCATTGATCAGACAAGTCCCTTGGCAGTTCTCTATAGTTCTTAGCGAAAACAAATTGATTGGTAGTAAAATGCAGTGAGTTAAACCTTCAACACTCAGGGCGGGGTTCGGTCTCTGAACTAAACCATCCGGATGGTTTAGTTTTCCTTTGGATTTTGGCGGATGCATCCGCCAAAATCCAAAGGAAGGCATGAATTCTGAGAGATCCAGAGCATTCCAATTCCGATAGTCACCGCACTCCTTATGATTGAATTTGACATCGAAGGTGCACTTTTTTCGCGAAACGGAGAGCGGATTTTGATTCTAGTTGATGAATAAGGACAGTTCAACGTTAGCAGTGCATAAGTACCTAAATGCCTGCCTGACTGGAATGAATGAGCGAATGAATGAATGTATGAGCAACTTTGTCAAGTGGTATTTAGTATTTACGCTCTCATAAATGGACAAGCCCCTGTGCCAGCCAGCCAGCCACAGCCGTACGCGGCAGATCCACGACCATAGCCCATCGCTAACTCAGTTACAGACCTTGCTTTCTCAACGTGTTGCAGACGGATCAAAGACCGATAAAAGAACGGGACAAGTCGTCTGTTTGGTCAGTATCAGGTCAGGTCAGGATCAGGATTGGTCGGGAGTTACGACCAAGGGTGGAGCTTTTCCAGGGGAGTTGGTGGGGCAAAAAGTTGTTAAACGTTCAATGTCAAATCGCTAAGCTGGATAAGGTGCCCTGGTGCAACACTGAATCAATTATTTTCATTACAGAGATAATATTATGCATTACACAGACATTTCAGAGTTCCTCAAAGCGAAGAAGACTGGTTTGCTTAGCATCAAAGTCCTGCAAACCAGCTAAAGTTGGTGGGTCGAAACGCTTATTGGTGGGGCAAAATGACAAGTTGGTAGGGCAGCCGCCCTACCAACTGAATAGGAAGCTCCGCCCCTGGTTACGACAACACTCGCACGAGTTTTGTCAAAAGCAACAATCACCTGAATGCTGGCGGGATTTATTTTATTCACGACCTTGTTCCCAGACCAATCTGACACATATTCCGTACTCCGTATATTCCGTACTCCGTATATTCCGTACTCCGTACAATTATCAATCGAGCAGCGAGCTTCCGAGCGCGATTTGAACTACGAAGTCATCACACAGAGACACCGCCTGCACACCAGGGATCCATGTATTAGGTAGGTACACACAAAACATTTCGATAGAACGAGTTACAATCCGAAACGTAGTCACACACGGTAATTTGTACGCAAACTGGACACCGCCGTATATCGGTGAGTGAAGTCTCGCTCCTGATTCCTCCCCGGCCAGCCGTCAGTGGGTTACGATAAGCTCCTCCTGAAACACAATAAAACAAACACAGTCAATGTCCACCTTCATTCAGGAAAATAAAGCTATAACTTCTATAGCTGTTGTAACAACCACATGCAGTGTGAAACAGGTGAGCTGGTGCGAAGGGCTCAGAAATTTTCTTTCTCACTGAAGAGGAGGGGAATAAGAAGGCGAGGAATGGACGTCACTCACGAAACATTTCGGTATTCTACCGTCTACGCTTTTTTCACATTCAAATTTGGGCCGCTGGGTTTAGCCTAGACACAGAGAATTTTATGCTAATTATTTACACTCATCCCAGTGTCATCAGTCGTGCGCTTTCAACTTTCAATACATGTTTTAAGCTTTTGATCAGATTGCTCAAAATATCACTCAATTTCTACCGTTTTGGCGGAAAATAAATAGCCAAATCCGCATGCAGATACTACACTCGCCAATCAGGATATGCAGCTCATGTGATAAGCGATCTCATACAATGCTACCGGGGCGATTAAGCCCACCACTATCAAATTACGTGGGTCGACTGACTCAAGGTGCAACACTGCAGAGTCCCGGCTCCGTATCGACACGGTATTCGGGCCTCTCCGAATAGCTGGGGTTGGCTGGGGAGAGCCCCTGAATTCGGCCCGAATTTCTCACCTATACCGACACGTCTATGACGGGACGGGAAAGTGTGATATTATATCTTGACACCCACGCCATAGGTCACCAGTGAGTGTGACGTCATGATAGTAGGTGGTGGGGTTTCGGGCCGGCCCGGGTGATGCAGAGAGATCGGAATGCACCGCGGTAGGCGATGGGAAGGCGCTGACCTTCCCCTAATGAATAATGGCCGAAGGGGCAATGGACGGTTTAACACCTCCGAAACATTGTACCTCGGAACGGAAAGGAAAATACACGTACTCAAAGCACAGTTTACTACGCCTACGGGTCTATCCCAACGCTTACCAATACGGTATAATTCGAATTTGCGAATAAATGGTAACAGAAGGATTTTTCGAGGCACTCTTCCATAAGCGAGCGTCGGGATGAAAATTTGTTTCATATTAACAGATCTGGCGGGAAAAATCCCCTGCCTCACGTTGACCTGTGTGACTGACCTGCCCCCCCCCCCCCGTTCACTCACATTGACCTGTGTAGCGCCCCCCCCCCCCCCCCGTTAAAGTCACGTTGAACTGTCTCTGACCTTAACACCCGTTTGACTTACGTTGATCTGTGTAGCGCTCCTCCCCCCCCCCCGTTTAATTCACGTTGACCTGCGGTGTCTGACCTCACCCCACGTTAAACTCACGTTGACCTGTGTGGCGGGCCGCAGGTCGAGCGGCACCTCTGTATCCAGGTCGGGCGCCTCGGGCGGCTCGTCGGCCTGCTCCTCTGAGGTGCTGTGGTGCCGGTATATGCCACCGGCGTCGCTGTCCAGGTCCACGCGCACCACCTCACGGGGAGTCTGCGGAACACCGCGGACAATGTAGGGTCAGTCATCTTCCTCATTTTTACTCAGTGTGGGGATGCTACAAGAGTTCAAAATTATGCGGCGTACATCATGATATGGTGAGGGTGCAGTTCTTTGACATCACTTTTTAGCTTCGTGATAAACGCCTTTAGTCAATGCATTTTTGATACCCAATTTAAAGCTCATACGTTTCACGGGAGCCTCATTACATTACGCAAACAAATATGCCCACGTTCGAGCTCAGTCATATGCCCTGAAGGGGTCTGATTGAGATAAAATCCTGGCACGGCCATGTAGCACGCACCTCCTTTGGTTTGAGGTACTCGGACTCTGTGAGACGGAACCTGTTGACGGGCGGGCTGGCGGCGTCCGAACCATACGCCGAGTCCACCCTGACTCCCGGCCTCTCCTCCCTCTCCCCGTCCTCCTCCTCCTCTTCCTCTCTCCTCTCCTCCTCCTCCTCTCTCGTGTCCTCCTCCCTCTCTCTGTCTTCCTCCTCCTCTCTCCTCTCCTCCTCCTCCTCCCTCCTTTCCTCCTGCTCTCTCCTGTCCTCCTCTCTTTCCGCCGCCGTCCGCCGGCGCTCCCGAGCCCCAGTGGACGACTGCCGGCGCAGTGAGGCTCGGGAGCGGGAGGTCGGCACGGCCGGCGGCAGGGAGACCCCGCGCGACCTCGACCGGTCACCGCCGGCGGCTGGCTTCTGCCGGGCGCGGCGGCTGGTGGCCGGGATCCGCGGCAGGCTGAGCTCCGACTGAGACCTGAGGGCAGGGAGACGAACCAGTCAGACAGGAGTTGACGAATACTCATCCAAAGGGAGTGGTTAAAAAGCGAAACGATGCTTGCAGATACAGCCACGGTGGCAACTACTAAAAAAAAAAACGATTGCAATTTCAAAATTAGGACTCTCATATGACATTGCTATCGTCTCCTGCAGCCCATTCCCAAAACTAATTCCCACCCCGTTCCCCTAACACAGCGGGTGAAGTCAGGCGCCTCTGCCGAAGGTACCACATCAATTAGCCAGTCCTCACCATCCTGCGATGGAACGGCCCGGGCGCTGCTATGATGTATTCACCGTCCCCGTCTCCACTATTCAGCGTGGTTTGTGCGGCGGACTGTCTCCGGTCCCCTGCTGGTCCACCACGGGCTGAAGCAGCGTCCTCAACTGCTCCTCAGTCAGTCCGCCGAGCGAGGGCGCCGCGCCGCCGCCGTCGGCCGCCCGGCCGGCAGACATGTTCTGCATCAGCAGCGTCCGCAGGAGCGAGGCGATCTCGTCCAGCTTCTGACCAATGTCGGCCGGCACCGCTTCCGGAGCTCTGCTCGCCTCCGGGACTCTCCCCGCCTCCGCAGCTCTCTCCGTCGCCGCTGGCTCCGTGTCTCTTCTCGATAGGGTGGCGGTCGCTGATCGCGGCACGGGTGTTTCTGGATCAGTTTCGTGTGTCAGTTCCACTCCCTCTGGTGAATCAGGGACCTCCGTTGGTGAGTGAGGACCCTCCTCAGGTACCGGAGTGGAGTCCTCCGTCTGTCCCGGCGTGTTGGTTCGGGTTGGAGGCCAGACCGGCTGACTGGGGAGCTCCTCCTCTTCCTCCAGCTCCGGCGGAGGTGACGCCATCTCCCTGCTGTCCTCTCCATCTCCCTTCTCACCAAGCGACCTCTGCTCTCCTGCTTCTATTATTTTATCCCTCGAATCAGATATCTCCGACGTAGCCTCTTCTGCCGCCGTTTCTGGCGCCGTGGGTCCCTGCGTCTCCACCTGCGGCAGTGGGGGCGGAGCGCGGGCCGCCAGAGCCGCCCGGTCCGCCGGCCGCGCGGGCACTTCGTCCCACACCCAGCCGGAGCTGGCCGCCGGGCCGGACCACGAGAGAGGGCTGCTCTCAGAGACAGAGCGCCGCCGGCGGGGCGAGGGCAGAGGCCGCGGCGCGGGTCCCTCCTCCAGAGACACAGGTGGAGGGGAGGGGAGGGGATCTCCCTCAGCGGCCGAGGAGGAAGGAAGGGGCGACCGGTCGCTCACGTCTTCAGTGGGCGTGTGACTCGAGGTGGTTCCTTTTGATGATGATGCCAACTCTGGATTTTTCTCTGAGGATGAACGAGTTAACGATGGCATCAAATCATCATGATCTGAAGTGCGTTTAGCTGATACAGGGTGTTCTGCAGCATGCTCTGGCGTCTCACTAAGCTGAACCTCTAACGAAGAAGTCGCTGGAGGGCGCGGTGCTGGCCGCTTGGGTCTGCCCTGTCTCACTCCCACAGTTCTGCGGTGTGGTTTATCCGTCTGTGAGTGAGTTGTGCGCATCGCTCTGCTGTTAGACATCTGATCCACTGACGCCGCTTTGGGAGACAGGTTTGGATACGATCTCTCCATCCCGACTCCCGGCAGCGACTGAGCCACTGTGGGCACGGCGTCGGACGTCGACTGAACTCCCACCGACGTCTGTGAGTCGCGGTGGGGCAGCTCCAGGTCCCTGAGGACGGGACGGGACAGCAGCGGCCGGCGCAGCTCCGGGGTGACCGGAGACTGACGACAGGACGCCGTCAGCTTGGCCGAGTGGCGAGCTGTCGCAGAGGGTGGCTGGTGTTCCGGTGTAGGAGATATGTGATCCTCATAGCAGGGCGGCAGGACGTCCTCACAGGTGCTGGGTGGGTGGGGAGACATAACATCCCTGCCTGGTGAGATGCAATCCTTCAAAGGTGATGTCGCTTCCTTTTCAGTTACAGCCTGCGATGACGAAGACTCCTGTCCCACCAGTAACAGGGAATGTTCGGATTCAGTCTGACTCCTGAACCCGTCTCCAACTCCAGCTGTCGGGGTAACCGACCCGCCGTCCTCGAAATCGGTCGGCACGGGGGTCGCTCTACCGTCCACCTCTACCGGCGACTCTCCACGGGATACCGGCGCATACACCGTGTCCCTCGGCACCAAATGCTGCAGCTCCACCGGCGCAAACTCGGGCGAGCGTGGGGACGCCAGCTCGGGAAAACTGGCCGCTCTACTGAGCACAGACACACAGCGCAGCTCACCAGTCTCATCTTCCACCAGCACTATCTCACACACGGAGGACTCCGACTCTGTCCGGCCGAGTGCGGACTCCAGCCGCGGCTCGCTGGCGGCCCGGCTGACGGCCGGTGATCCTCCGCCGGCCGCCAGCCGGCCCGCCCGCTGACCGGAGGCCTCCACCGGACTGGAGGACGGTGTATGCGGGGTGGCGGCGCGGCCCGGTCGGCGCGGCTCCGGCAGCGGTGAGTAGCCCGGGCTGTAGAAGCCCGCGCCGCCCGGACGGTGCAGCTGGGAGCGGGTCGGTCTCGGCTCCGAGGGGGACGGGGTGCCGTCACCGCTGTCGGCCCGGGACGGACCGCGGCTCAGGTGAGGGGCGCTGTGGGAGACAGCCAGTTCGGACGGAGCAGGGGAGACCGGCGAGTCAGTCATGATGAACACGTCCGCCTCGTGTTCGTACTCTCCGTCGTGCCACTGCTCAGCGCCGTCAGTTAGCGTCGAATCCATCACCTGCGCTATGTTCTCCGGCTCCCAGGAGCGGCAACCGTTCGTGTCCGCCTCTCCAGACTCCGGCAGAGGATGCAGGAAGAATGGCTCCGGCCTCTCCGGAGCCTGGATCTCCGGCTGAGAGAGCTCCGGATAGACGACATCCATCAGGGGGCTCTCGTCCAGGTCTGTGTTCGAACTACTGGAGCTGAACGGGCCGTCCGACTCAACGGGCGGCGGCGCCTCGCCCGGGGCGACATCTATAGGCGCGACTTCAACGCGGCGCGGCGGCGGCTTGGGGAACTTCCGCTGGACGTGGGGACGGTGGTGTGGAGGTTGGTGCAGCGAGTGGTATCTGGGAACACAGAGGATGGAAAAGACTTGTGAGACGACAGGATAACGCACAATTGGTATTGAAATAGGTTGCGTTCATGCATGCGTTACCCGAAAAAGTGCCAAAATTGCATGACGATCGGATTAATAAGTGATATGAAAACACAAAGGAAAGCGAAGTTAATGTCAACGACATCCTTGTTCTGCTCCGAACCTTAAAATGACCACGCACTGAAGATGATTGAAGTGCTCAATAACCAATGCGTTCAATGCAACCTCAAGACTGTCCGAAACCCCTCTGAACAAGTATTTCCTACTCTGTCTAGTAGTACTCATTTACGCCTGCCTACTTCCTGGCGGCCTCCTGCTCCTCCGCCGTCGCCTTCTGCTGGTGGCCCTTCTGGGCGTACTTCTCCCTGAGCTGGGTGTAGCGGCGCGCCAGCTGCGGGTACGAGACGCGCAGCGGCGGCAGCGGGGCGCGGCGCGGCGGAGACGAGCTCGACTGTGGCGCCGCCAGGCGGGACGCCGAGGAGTCAGCGGCGCAGACGGTGGGCGCCGACTCGGCCACCCGCTGGTGGGGACACGGCAGGCGGGGCGTGGTGGAGCGGCTGGAGGGGAGGGGGAGGAGGGTCAGAGAGGATGGTCTCAGAGTCAGAGAGTCAGAGAGTCATAGGATAAGGACGGGTCCGCGTTTCCATAAGGATCAGCGGAGTTCATCAGAGAACAGCGGATGCAGTCAACGAGGTACTAAATATGTTCTGCTGTGATGTCTCAGTGCATGGATAAATCAGATTCGAAATAATGCACGATGCTAATCAGTCAATTGTTCCAGGTGCCTAGCACACTGTAAATCACAGATCTCGTTCAGCTCTTAGTGTACGGCCGCACCAAAGCGGAATCCACAGAACACGCAACACCCTCACACCCACACCGGTTCCTGTTGTCACGACCCGAACAATCGATGTCTGCTGGTAGACCAGCGGTCACCCAGGCCCAATGTTGGCATTGTGAATTTTGGTCCTGGTCCCGGAGGATAAAATATCTCCGGAGAACCGGCCAGCTTGTAGAACACTCAACAGGAAAATCACATGTTTGGCTCTCTAAATGTGACAGTTGATAAAATGTGTTTTCTCAATGTTATAACTGCATGTTTTAGGCGTAATAATGGCTGTTTTCATCACAAAGGCTGGAAATTTAAGAGATTTCAGGTGCCGGAGTATAAATTTGTAAAGGAGAACAAAGTCGTTTGGACCCTACTGGGACCAGCAAAGGGCCTTATTTCCAACATTGCCCAGGCCGCTTAGTTCCGCCCGGGCTCACACGCTGCAGCCCTCCACCCTGACCGTCCTACGCAGTCCACCTCAATCGATCCACACAATAAGTTCGTACCAACGCTGAGCATTGCGCAACGACTTAGTGCGAGGCCAATGAGTGCAGTAATGGACCCCTGCACATGACGTGTGATGACCCGTTTGCAGCTGTGGGGTCACCTTAGTAGTGTTTGTCGAATGAATGTCAGTGCAGCCACTTAGGTGGAACTTACTAACGGACCTATAGTGGTCGATGCAAGTCTGCTTCGCGACCTTCAGAGCTATATTCAGGTATATACCGTCGAGTGTAGGTTAATGCATATGCTGCTATATGTTCACAAGCATTTCGAGACGGTAGGACAAAACAATCGGTGCTGCATGACGCAACAATGACGACCTTGAAGCATCATAAATATTAGTCGGCACCCCATTATCACCACCCGCCCTCTTTCCACCGTCTCACACCCTCCTCCGATTCTCCCCTCTCTCCACCTTCTCACCCAGCCTTCTCCTCTCTCTCTCTCTCCCCATCTCTCTCACCTATCGCCCCTCGTCACGCTCCTGAACGGCTCCCTTGCCGCTCCGTAGTTGACCAGTCGGAAGCTCTCGTTATCTGCCGCCGCCACGTACAGGCCGTTGTGTTCCAGATCGGCGGCAGGGTCCCGCACCAGCTGACCCTTCAGGTTGTACAGCCTGAGGGACGGAGAACGGGAGGGGTCAGGGCTAACGCCGAGGGGAATATAAGACATGATACTGGCAGCTGAGCGCAGTTAGGCAAAACACAGATTCTGGCGTTGGTTAGCTTCGTCTGATAAAGGTCAGCTTCTCGGCGCGGTGATTAGTGACGTCACATCATCCGCTGGCACAGCATCTGAGGAATGACGCACATCCGAACGGTATAACTTATCGTCGCCAGGCAACAGAGCATGATGCAGCCGGTATCGACCACTCAGCCTTGATCTCGACCACCATCGGTCATACTCAATGTCAGGGTGCATCGCAGTCCGCTGTATGAATAGTTTTTTTCAGGAGCACGGTTTAAGATTAAAGCCTGACGTCAATCAAGGGTCGCGGATGCTGTCGTCGAATGCCCAGGACAGGCAAGAATAAGAAATGGACGGGCATACTAGACTACCTAAGGAATTTGACTGCGCACCTTTCCCCATAAATGACACCACCCACCCCAAACGAGTGCCCCTAACATTCCACCTTCCCGAAGCCCATCCACCTACTTGTGCACTCCCCGTCCGATGCGCAGCTTCTCTCCGAGCCTCTCCAGCGTCTGCTGCCAGTGGGTGCGCGCCAGGCGGTCCACGCGCACCGCGCTGGCCGCCGAGAACGCGTCTCCGTTCCGGAACACGTGAATGGTGAGCTCGTCGGAGCCCGAGTCGCGGTACCGGGACGGCACGCCGTGGTGGCGACGGCCGCCCGTCGAGCCCACCTGCTGCGGAGCGCAGAGGGACGGGGAGAGATGGTTAGAGCGAGGCGAGTGGGAGGGAGGGAGGACAAAAGTGGGTGTTCGTTCTTCATTCTACCCTCATAACACCATGCCTTCCTTTATGTGTTTTTTAGACGGCACACTGTTTTGCTTTGTCGTCGAACTGACGTTCAGACATTGTAATAATCTAGTCCAATTATTAAATTGTTTCTTTAATGACAACGAATTAGCATTGGAAAGACGAGCAGTAGCCACACATTACCCACCAAACAACCAACACAATTATAGTAATACACATCGCTGACAACTGAAGACACCAATCAATCCTCCCTACCACAGACCCGTCACCTGCACAGCACGCGACCTTTATGACCTCTGCTCACCACCGTCACCGTCCGAGGTCAAAGGTCAGCCCCGGCGGCGTCTTTTGTGACGTCACCGCCATCTGTCCTCTATAGGACTGAGCTGAACGGAACTATCGGTACCTGGCACGGGATGCGCCGAGGACGGTAGGAGTTCCTACCAGACCGGCTTCTGCCCGGTCCCCGGGTCTGGACCTCAGGAAGGGGATCGATCCGCGAGGCCGGCCGGGCGCACAAGGCCATGCACCGCGGTGACCGTTCAACACGGACGCGGCTGCAGCGGCGCGGGCGGACCCAACAACGACGCAAATACAGTCCAGTGGTGGTATGGAGTCGAAAGGAGCGTAGACAGCGTAACAAAGAAGAATGGTGGAAAGGGTTAGAACAAGGTGGGAACACAAGTTGTTTTATTTACAATAGAGGACGTGAAGATTTGACAAAACGTGCTGTTTTTAAGGCACTTGTCTGCAGTGCAATACCCCGTCAAAAAGTCAAAGCAGCGCTCAGACAGCGCTCCCAGGGTTCAGCAAACAATCCCTAACTACGGTTCGCTCGGTTCTATCACGCAGGGCCGGTTAGCCCCCCGTCCGTCTGTTTGGACACAAAATGAGCCAATCAGGGGAGTCCTGATGGCCGCCCGTTACGAGTTAATCAGCGTCTCTGGAGGGCTGTCCGCTACGAGCCAATCGGAGTGGTTCCCTGGCGAAAAGAGGCAAATATAGCCAAGTCGAGGACAATGGAATAATTAGCATGCTTAGCCCTTAGAGGGGAGAGTAAGAATAACACAGGTGATGCACGGCACCCGGTAGCATGAGAGTCGCCAGCTCTGCATATTAGTGAACACTGAATGATATTCAGTGGTCGCGATGCGGCGCATGCTCTTCATGATGCATAAATTAGAAATGCGTGCGCTAACTGGCCATTCTGACTGTCAGTTCTACGCACAGAAAAGCACATTAATGAAAAGTTAAACATTAACCCTATTCCTGGCGGGCTCCGCCGGGACAAGAAACTGGCGGGGGGGCCGATTCGGCCCCCCCCTTCAGATCTCAAAAACTACACATCGCAGCGACAAACGGTAAACGGCATCGGATACGCACGGTCAAGAGCTACAATTTTTACAAAGGTCATTTTTAGGTCAGGTCAAAGATGACGTCACAGGGGTCGAAAAAGTCAAAATGGCGGCGCTAGATATGGAGAGTTTTTCTCGAATAACTTTCGAATTAGTCAACAAGATAGGAACAAACTAAGGGCATCATCGTGATCCTCTCGTCAATCCGCATCGAATGATATATGTTGACCTCGAAAGGTCAAGGTCAAAGGTTGACCTCAGGTCACGTGACCTCGAGGTCATCATGTATATCATTCGATGCGTCTTGACGAGCTGAACACAATGAGACCATCCACGCGTCTGTATCTTGTTCCTGTACGGAGTTATTGGCCAAAAACCTTTGGTGACCTTTGATGACGTCACATGACCTCACAGCTGCCCAACAGCAAAACAGACCTCAAGGTAGTGAAGGTTGATCGTATATGAAGTCATGTATGGTATATGGGGCCATTCCGACCTGTTTTAGTGGTAAAAACAGGGAGTTGATTTTTCCCCCATTGACTTATAATGGGGAGGTCGCGAAACTGACCTGACCTTAGGTCACCGATATCAAAATTCCGAGATATACAAATTGCACATACTGGTACCCTAACTAAAGCCTGAAGAGAAGAAATTGATCAGTCAAAAACTCTAGCTCTGGCGTGATTGCAACCTTTTCTGAGGTACGGTCACCAAACCGCCTCTGGTGACCTGACCTGAGGTCAGATCAACTCAAAACTTTCAGACATGTTGCGTAGAAGCCTTTTAGGAAAAGTCAGAAAATTTGAGCTTCCTAGCTCAACGCGTTTGGGAGAAATAACCAAAAAACCTCAGGGGGGGCTCCTGAGGCCCCCCCCCCCCCCGCCAGGAATAGGGTTAAACGGTCGATAGCTAGCCAAGCAACAGCGCCGTAATGACTGATTCACTTGAACATTTGGATGACTGATTCTAATCCTATTCACCAGACACCTAACAAAGCAATCCATCTCTAAAATTAATTACACCTGACTGCCTAACACAAGACGTGGAGGCACGATCAAGCTCCAGTCAGCTCACAGTCCGCTATCATCCAGACCTGGTCACCCGACACCGGTACATGTCCTGGTACACCGCCTACCATTAGCGGCAGAGCAGGTGCTCGCAGCTGGAGGCAGTCTCGTGCTGCCGCTCGTCTAATAGTGGAGTGGGCTAATCAATAAAGCAGCTGCTGACCAACAGACTCGATTAGCCTCGTGGTGATACCGAGGGCGAGGTAGGTAGCCTTATGAGAGGTGTGACTGAATTCGGGTAGACCTTCTCACAGAACGCATTCATTTTACCGGGTCATTCAGAATAAAGGCACACATTTGTTTTCTTCATAGAAGTGCAACAGCAAAAATACTGCATGCGCACGTACTTATTTTTTACTTATCAATCTACTATACTATTTGTGAAATGAAACTCTGTGTGTCTGTCCGTCTGTTTGCACCGTGCAGAGGGGTGCTTTGACGCCGTGCGCAGGCCAAACGGTGCCGTCGAGAGGGCTGAAATTTTCGCACGGTGTTGATGACGTCACGGGCACGTGCAGTGTCGTGTTTCGGGTCCCGGGGGTGGATGGCTTGCACGTGGCACGCGCTGGAAAAGTGCGTATTTCCTCACAAATTTGCTCGGTCTTCAAGGCATCGGCAGCCGCGATCGATAAACTTTGCAACTAAAATGCATGACGATCGGCGGCGGGTGCCTCTCATTTGCGGATTGACAGCTTATTTATTTTGATAAACAGAGGCGAATGAAGGTGTTGATTTTCGGTAAATAAAGACAGTTTTCAATGCGCTTAACCGAATGCACCGCGTTTGCCGTAGTGCGCCACATTTGTCACGAGGTGCCATTTTTGCTGCAAATCGCACAACTTTGTCAAATATGGTCCGATAAAGGAGCAATTCGGTGGAAGGATGCATGACAAAATGACAGGTACAAATGTGCCATGTTTGTCGCAACGCGCCACATTCGTCACAAGGCGCTATTTCCACCAAATATGATTAAGAATGATGGAATTACACGAGTAGGAGCACGGTTAGGAACTCTTTTTTAGTTCATCAGTTTATATGGTAATATGTGACCTCACATGACCCAGTGGTAGTGGTAGGTGTAGTGGTAGTGGTAGTGGTAGTGGTAGTGGTAGTAGTATTGGTAGGAGTAGTGGTAGGGGTAGTGGTAGTATTAGGGGTAGTGGTAGGGTAGTGTTAGGGGTAGTAGTATGGGTAGTGATAGGGGTAGTGGTAGGGGTAGTAGTACGAGTAGGGGTAGGGGTAGGGTAGGGGTAGGGGTAGGGGTAGTGGTAGGGGTAGTGGTAGGGGTAGGGGTAGTGGTAGGAGTAGTGGTAGTGGTAGTGGTAGGGTAGGGGTAGTGGTAAGGGTAGTGGTGGGGGTAGTGGTAGGGGTAGTGGTAGGGGTAGTGGTTACGGAGCGAGCGAAGCGAGCGTAGTCTTTCCTTAGATTAACGGAAATTTCTGAGTATGAGCGGCCGGCCGGCCGGCCGGCCGGCCGTGGTCACGCTTTTGCGAGGCTTATATCTCAGCAACCACTTGACCGATTTACACGCGGTAATTTTTGTAGGGTAGCTTCATTCCTTCTACCAAGTATTGGACTATTCCTGATGCATGTGGATGACCCCTTATGCACGTGCCACGTGCAAAACGAAGAGGTGTCCGTTTTGTAATTGTTGCAATATCTCGGTAACTACTTGGCCGATTGCGCTGAAAGTTGGCATGTAGGTAGACACCCACTAGGCACTGCATATCCATGTGCCAGAGTTGGGGCGCTGCTGCACGTGCGCACATGCAGGGGTCGTTTCCAGATCTCGAGAACGGCTCGACCGATTGCGCTCAAATTTGGTACACAGTTAGGGACCGGTTAGTAGGGTGCCGTGCACAAGTCAGTTGGGACCCATTTTGCACGTGCGCACGTGCAGGGTGCCGCTTCCAGATCTCGAGAACGGCTGGGCCAATTGTGCCCAAATTTGGCACATCGCTAGAGACCGGTTAGTAGGGTGCCGTGCACAAGTCAGTTGGAGGTACCCCTCGCAATTTCGCACGTGCAAGGCCCACCCTCTCGCTCGCTCCGTTAGTCGCCCCAAAAGGCGTTATACTGGTAGGAGTAGTGGTATGGGTAGAAGTAGAATAAGTGTGGTACAGACCGATCCAATGTGACGTGGTGACCTATACGACCTGGCCTGACCGAAGGGGACCTGGCCTGACCCAGTGTGACCAGGGATGGCCAAGTTGACCTGACTTGACCCCATATGACCCAAATTCATCCAACTAAGCTCTCAGAATAGTTATTATGTTCAAAATTTTCCTCTGCAAGTTTCCGTCCATACTCCATATCTCTGCTTACAGACGACAGATCAATTCAAATCAAACACCATTCGAAAGCAAATTGGCTGCTGCCGCATTTTATGGCTACGCCGCGAAGCAAGTGGCGCAGCCGCTTGTCTATATTACTATTTGAGGAGGGTGCGTCTGTCCGTTACCGAGGTCCCGACTTGGTGGTGCTTTGCGTGGACTACAGGCCAGACCGTTGCACCTAGCCCGGTGAAATTTGCACAACTTATAGATCAAAGATGCGCGACGTGCCTTTGAGGGGTCTCAGCTTGATCGGGTCGTTATTGAGCGCGTGGCGCGTGCCCAAAAAGTGCAAATTCGCGTCATAGACTTTACATGTATAAATCGGCGTGCGAAATCGGGCGAAAACGGCTAATTTTGGCCGACACGGGTCCAGTTCCCGTGCAATATCTTGGTGACCAGGGATCCGACCGGCACGGGGAAAACAGCATCGTGTAGATAATTGAATGGGCAATGGAATCGTGTGCGATACAGAGGATAGCACGCGCCACGTGCACCGGGGAGGGCACTTTTGTTGAAAAATTGCGGTTTTTGGCGGATTTTGGAATTGATTTTATTTTTAGGTGACCGTTAAACAGGGCGAGTTGGAACAACGCCTGTTGGCAAGAGAAATGTACCGCCTATCATATAAAAATTGTGAAAAGCTGATTGATCCAAATCAAGGTGGTACAAATCACGGGAGAAAATGGTGTTTGTCAATTTTGTGTCACTTTGTTAATCACACGGGGTTTGCTGCATAACCTGATACCTTTGGCAATTGAATATGGTACCATTGGATAGAGCATTCAATTCTGTCCAATATTCACTCTTCATTTTTGCATGATTAGCAACAGTATCCTTAAAAATGTAAATGTTCCAAACCATTACATTGTCATTTTTAGCGAAATTCATCGATGGCCCTCAAAAGACTTCACGCCAGTTTTCGAATCATTCTAAAGTAGAACGCATGATAATACGACACGGGCACCTCGATGCGATGTATCTTTTTGTTTTCTTACGAAATGCATGGCCGTCAAAAAGCAATCGAACGAAATGGATATCTACCAACCAAATCGACACAGACCAACCCAATACCCACGGGTCAAAAAATCCCCCCTTCGCGTTGCGGAGCACGCGGGTAACCCTAGTAAATGCTATTTTGTTTTGACTGGTCAGTGAAAAGTGTTGAAGATGCTGCCATTCACACCAGACCAAAGAACACAACTCGTCAAATTCTACCTGGAAACAAAATCAGTCGTTCTCACCGTTCTCACCCAGCGCAAATGGAAGAAGTGTTTCCAGGCAAGAAAAGCACCCTCCCGGAAGGCCATCCTGAGCCTGACCGAGAAGTTCTTGGCAACTGGGAGCCTAGAAAACAACAAAAAGGGCAGATGCGGGGCCAAGCGCACCAAACGGACCCCAGCAACCGCCCAAAAGGCACGACAAATTTTGACATCACAGCCCCCAAAACGTCCCTAAAGCAGCTCAGCCAACAGCTGCGTTGTAGCTACAGCACCGCACAACGAATTGCGCGCACTGACTTGAAGTTGCGTCCGTACAAGATAAGTATCCATCAGAAACTTCGTGACTGTGATGAAAAAAGTCGCAAACGCTACTGCGCTTGGTTTAGCAGGAAATGCCACACTTCAAGTCGGTTCATCGAGAACATCTGGTTCTCAGATGAAGCGCACTTCCATTTGGACGGGCGTGTTAACAGCCAAAATTACCGCTACTGGGGTACTGAAGCACCAAGTGAGGTAGCAGAGAGGCCGTTGCACAGTAAGAAATGCACGGCGTGGTGCGCGATCAGTGCGCAGGGCATTTCCGGCCCCATTTGGGTGGAAGATAGCGATGGTAACGCCGCAACAGTCAACGCGGCCTGCAAAGATTTTGGAATGGTCTGCGCAGTGCGCACTCGCTATCGCCACGCACCGGACCGGCTGAATGTACAGTGGTTCCAGCAAGATGGTGCGCCACCACACCGTGCAACAGAGACCAAAGCCTGGCTTCAGGACCATTTCCAGGACCGCCTGATTGCAAAGGGGGTCGGCATCGAGTGGCCCCCTCGCTCTCCGGATTTAACGCCACCGGATTTTTTTCTTTGGGGTCATCTGAAGTCGGAAGTTTACAAAAATGGACCCAAGACCATCGTCGAACTAAGAAAGCCGTGGAACAAGCGGCGAGACGAATCCCTGTCGCAACATGCTGCGCCGTAATGGAAAGCGCTCGTAAAAGAGCTGAGCTGTGCCTTCGCGAAAACGGTGGTCACCTGGAACAAGTACTATAGGTGGTCAGCTGTAGTTCTCTGACGTCAGCCGCTGATGTCCAGCAAAATAGCATTGATTTGCGAATGTTTTGGTGCCTGTTTTACCAGTATGCGATAAAAAATACAGGCTTGAGACAAAAAACAAATGTGTTCCCTTATTCTGAATGACCCTGTATTTGTACCCGCAAGCAGACGATCTAAAAATACGTTCGTAGGAAATTTTAAACGCAATGTCGAACACGTTTTAGCATACGGTGCGAAACCAGAACAATACACTTATTTTCGTCGGCTCACTTGATCGTGACCTAGCACAACGGCAAAAGGCTTATCTGTGTGTCCTTGTATCATGAAACCGTAATGAGTGACGAAGATAGACAGCCTGATAGCTGCCCTCCACTCGGCACGTAACCATGTGAACGCATAAACGGATACCCCAGACGGAACAAGGAAAATACGAACAGGACGAAAATACGGACGTTGAAGGGTGAAAGGATACAGAGCGGTCTCAGGCCAGGATGTGGCAGTCTCACCTTGTCTTTGACCGGCTGAAGGGAGACGTGGCTGTGGCTGGTACTGGTACTCTGTACCGGGAGCTCCCCGTACCTGTCAACACGAGGGTACGGAGAATGTTAGATGGAGGTACTCTGTACCGGGGGCTCACCGTACCTGTCAACACGAGGGTACGGAGAATGTTAGATGGAGGTACCCAGTACTCCATCCCAGTACAGTACCCAGGCTCCCAGTACTCTGCCACTGGGAGCTGCCGTACCTGCCAACAAGTGGGTACGGGGGATGTTAAATTTATGGAAACCGAGGCAAGCATGATGAACTCGGTTTACCCAGTGGATTAGCCTTAGGTACACTTGATGCGTGTGTCGAAATGAGTTAAACTCTAGTTCTTCGGAAACGTGGAAAATTCAAACAGACAGTCGATTTTAGTCTCGTATGAAGGCTAACAGCTCCAATTAGCTGAATATTATCCCCACAACATTAACTGAGATTCGTTGCATGTCAATTCGTCAGTTGGGTGCGTGTTTTGCGTTCAAAGCAGCGGCCAACTCCAAAGCACGGCAGCCAGGGAAGAAGACCTGTTTATAGGAGTTTCCTCGATTGCCTGACCTCGCCTGTCACACTGCCCTGTTATCAGGAGGGATGTCACGATAACGTCCAGGGACGGTAAACGACACTATTGGCCAACTCTGTTTCTACGGACACGAATGCGAAACGAGTCCCGGCGAAACGCTACAAGGTGACGGAAATTGGAAGCCCTAAAGACATTTTTGTTCTGAGTTTTTTTTAGCAGCTATGGGTAGCTGTTAAGTACACACACGCCCACAGGAGGGACATAATCAAAGCGATACTGGACATAATCAAAGCGATAAACAGCTCTCAAGATTCTATGGTTTGAAATAATAACTAAGTTATTACCCCTTTTGATTAGCATTGCCTAGCAAAATTGTATCTGATACATAGAAGAGTCTCCCTCTTCTCCCACACACAGAACAGTTATGAGGCACAAATAGTCAAGTCATCAATGAGCGAAATGGCACGCCTTATTGCCGCACCTCTGCCCAGTACAGAGGCTGACCCACCTGGTCCTGGACAGTTGCCGGAACGGTTCGTTCGGTGACGCCACATACTTTCCGTTCGGCTTCAGGTCGGTCAGGCTGGACACACGGGTGCCACCCTCCGGTGTGAAGATGTTACGCACGGCGCCGAAGCTGGGGCTCAGCTTCAGTGTCACCTCCTCTAGCAGGCTCTGTGAAGGACATCACCGCGTTAGAGCTGCAGGTGCTGTCGGACAGACAGGGCTCGGCGCGGCAGATTGCCTGCGGATATAGACTGTGCCGCAACGCATGGCTGCACTGCGGAACAGATCAGAGTGGTACGGACAGACTTCTCAGCGAATGACAGCAATACCATTGTAATACACCACACGAATGCTGCCAGTATCGAATGCTAGCTGGATGTCCACTCGGCCTCACTCGACAATAGCTATTTGTCAGTCGGAATTCGGAAAGTCGACGTGTCACAGGCTCACAGCTGACGGCAAGCTATCGACGAGGCGCCAATCGCAATCGACGCAATAGCTCCCATCGACGGGTGACGAAAGTCCATTTAGGTAATGAAAAGCTAGTAGTGCTCGTACCAATATAGCAAACCAGGATCTGGAAGTTCATACGGTGAATGTATGATCGCAATAAATATAACGTTGAAATAAAAAGGACTTACGTCGAATGTTTTGATCTCTCGCGGTTTGACGACCATCCGACGGCCGGCAAAGTGTTGGTCGCCATTCTTGTAGACCACGATCCATTTGGCCGGCTCCGTTTGCGTCAGACGAGCCTGAGACTCACTAGAGGCCATCACAAAACATTTTTCCGCGCAAAAAGCTCGCCAGGTCAATCATGACCTACATACTCGAGCCCGGAACGGTGGTGACACTTGACCGGTCACCAGGGATTACCCTTCACTCTACTCACAATTTAACCCATTCGGTTCAAGTTGACTGCCGATAAAGCCACAGCGAAACGAGCCGAGAAAAAAATGTCCGAAAAAAATACACAAATAATTTATCACCGAAGACGGTAAACAATAATTTCACCGAAATGCAACCGTTCTGAAAATTACACGACACTTGAAATTCCGAGCTTCCACCTAAGTCCCACGTGGCAAACTCAAAGGGGTGCCGCTGCCCACCGCCGCTGCGGGCGAGTGGTCTGGGCCGATCGACTGGCGAGCGGCGAGCGGTGCAGCGAGCGACGAGGGCAGTCGCTACCGCGGCCAGTGGACGCACCATGACAACCGACCAACAGACGCGCCGCGTACGGCGGCCCCGTCAGCGGCCGCCGACCGTCGGCAGACGGTGGGCCGAGGCGGACGAGGTTTAACCCTTTGTTTTGTTTACTTTTAAAGTACTCTCATATTTTACACCTGAATGCCCAGCTTCCGCTACAAAGCCAGTTGATTCGAATGTTGCAGACCAAGTCATTGGCTGGTCCAGTCGAAATAAAATCGTTCACCGACACCTCGTGTAATCGCTCTATTTGTGTAAGGCGTGAAGACTCGAAAGTTCGTAAGTTACAATGCAACATCAAACATGAATTATTAGTGACGACGTGTATTTACCTGCATTTCAATGTTATCCACAATTCACCCTGACAATCAGCCTGGGCTTAATACCGACTGGGTGGCGTAATGAAGGCTCACGTGGCTGCAAAGGCATGGAAAATGAGGTGTTCAATGATCATTGATCAGGTGACTAAGCGTGAAGGAATGCGAATGCACGAACCTTAGTGAATGGCAGCATACACGCGTGTCTCGATTCCACTTGCACCATGCTGATTTCGATATCACACTTCGACAAAACAGTTACCATGCGGCAGGGGCAAAACAGTTCACGAAATGAGATGAGGCAATCAGAACTGCACTTTCATGTAGCGAGGCTGTGAAACTGACCTGGGCACAGAGACACGCAAATACAGCAGCAAGCAAAGGTGACGGTGCCGTACGAATACCAGCGAGGTTCATCAGGGTTCAATCACAAATCACTTACGAGCAGGTACGACCCTAGTTGAACAGAACAATTTCATCAACAGCACCCAAAGTCGGAACCAGTCGCTTCCAGTTCCGGACATTTTCTCAGGCGCAAAGACCACCATCCCATTCAGTGACAACTGACAGGCGCCGCGTCACGCCAGCATCTCGGGCGTTCGAAACTCGAGCGAATTATTCTGGCCATCCTGTCCGTCAGGCCTAATCGACTCGCAGGTCGCGGGTACTCCCGTCCCATTGTACTCACGGAGGAGCGATTCCCTCCAGTCGTCCTCACCGCCTCGTTGTCCCCAGAAGTCGTGAGGATCAATGTTATCACAAGTCGGCCGACCTGGAAAACACCGGAGGGATAGAGCGATGAGCCGGCGCACTTCCCGAGATAGCTTTTGTTGATTTCGAATTTTGATTCCACTTAGTGGTTTGGAAACTGTTTCACTCCGGTTAAATATACGATAGATCACGCTCTCATAGTGAATGCCTAAGCCTGACTGTCTGATACAGTCTACCCCGACCTACCACACAAGCAAATCCCACCATTTTTAGAGAGAAAAAAAAATCATTCGCCTTAAATCGCAATCGGGAAAATAGACACGCAAGCATAATCACAGCCATGATGAGTATAGCAAAGCTAAATCAACATCAAGAAATGTAGGCAGTCAAACAAACCAACCAATCCCCTAAAAGTTGGGCGCAGCTGTAAAATGTCGACAAAAGTCGGCAAAAGTCAAAGTGCCCGCCGCCGGCGACCCCTGCCCACCCTGACTGCGTCCCAGATGGCGCGACATTCGCCGGTGGTGCGTTAGAGTCGCCGCCGGTGCGCCAGGCTCGCCTCTGGGCAGTATTGACCGCGTCTGGCGCCGCCGCCGACTGCAGTCAGCCGGGGGAGGGGAGACAGCGATACAGCTGTGTGGAGGGCGGCACAGACCCGGGAGTGAGGGCGCCGAGCTGACCGGTGGGCGGCTCGAGGTCACAAGACGGCCTACAGCGGGAGGTGAGTGGTGAGTGGGGCAGGGCGGCAGGCAGAGGAAATCTGACGATCAATTAGAGGATGGGTGAAGGCAGCAATTACTTCCATCAGTCAGGTGAGAGAAGTCGTTGTCAGTCGATAGTTACGAATAATTGTACTGTTTAGACCTTCAAACGAATAGACACTGCAATAGTGCAATAGTGCTCGCCGTTTTGCATGGTTTTGTGTTAGCAGGCGGACCGATGTTTCGGAGGTGGAACTGTAAGTGTAGACCGTATTCACTGTTTGCACAAGTGGACGGACGGTTAACTCACCCGGCATCCCACCCGTCTCCAATGGGAGAAAAGGTTCGAGGCTGTTTAAGCGCTGGAAATTCAGGGTTTGGGAAATAAAAAGGAAATAAAGAAATTACTTTATGCTTATTTTAGGGCACCCTGACGTCTGACTGCAAATGTAAAAAAAGCCAAACGATTTCAAACAGATTACGGCCTGAAAACTGGCTCGATGACCACTGAGTAAATGCACATGTCCCTAAGGGCCAGGGTGCAAATTCAGTGGCATGCACTGTTCTGCCCCAATAAATTGATGACAGTGTTTGTGTTTTAGGGAACGCTGAGACTGCGCTGGTCATCGGCACTAATCGCAACCTTATACCCAGACACCAGAGTGAGTTATTGTCACCACCGTTACCATCCCCCGCTCTGTCCTGCAGCAGTGGGAGCGACAGTGGCTGAAGACGCGCCAGCTGAGGTGGAAACGGCGGCTGAGCGGCCGGGGCGGCAGAACCACCGGTTACGAAAACACCAGCGGTCGCCATTCTAGCTGTTACAACGGCAACAGCAGCAGATACAACACCAGCCTCTGTCTCAGCCTCAGTGACCGTCTCGGGCGCCGCCAGCGGGGCTCGCACGGCCGGCGCGATGCGTCTGCGCCGTCTCAAGTCGTGCTGCTGCTGCTCGCTGCGGGACGGCGTCACCACCATCAGCCTGCTGCACTGTCTGGTGGACGCTCTGGGCGCGCTGTGGCTGGCGCTGCTGCTGGCCGACGCGCGGCTGGTGCGCCGGCTGCTGGCCACAGAGCCGGAGGTGGCGCCGGCGCCGGCCCCCGACGGCCTGCCGCCGCCCGACCTGGACACGCTGAGCCGCGCTGTGCGGGTGGGCGCGCTGCTGCTGCTGGCCCTGCTGCTGGCCAGCCTGCCGGTGGACCTGGCGCTGCTGGTGGCCGCCGCCCGGCGCCGGCGCCGCCTGCTGCTGCCCTGGCTCGGCTGGCAGGGCCTGCTGCTGGTCGGCCAGCTGCTGCTGGCGCTGACCGAGCTGCTGGCGGCCGCCGCCAGTCTGGAGGCGGCGCCGGAGACGTGGGCGGTGATTGTGCTGCAGCTGGTTATCGCCACCGTCAGCGGCTACTGTTACGCGGTGGTGCTGAGCTTCTTCCTGCAGCTGCGCGAGCAGGACAGCAAGGACTACACCGGGGCGCCCATCATGACCTGAGCGACCAGTCGGGTGACGGCCGACGAGGGAGCGGGGTGTGTCCCGGTCACCGGTGCTACAGGGAGTTACCTCTGCCGGACGGGAGGACACGGGATGTGACGGAACAGAAACAGAGGCCAAAGGCACCGACGGCGCGGATAGTGTGTGTGTGGGGACATGTATGGTCTGTGTTAGCGCGTGTTAGCGTCTAAAACGTCCAAGATTTTGTTCCCGCTGTTTACCCAGAGCTTATACAGGAAATTGGAACAAAAAAAAAAATGAGCACCGTATGTATATACACCGGGCTGCCATGATGAGATTAAGCCATTTTCGCAGCCAGGACCGATACGATTGCGATGACGAAAATAGAATGCATGCTCGTTTACGTTAACTCTGCTACTAGTACATCTATGTCACATGCGATGACTGTCCATTTCATAGTGTCGTTTACAGATATGTCACGCACGTAAACCTATGCTTGTTACCGATCACGTCAGGCTGGCTATCCTCGCATGCCATCATGGTGTGTATTCATTCAATTATATTTCACGGAGCTTTGAAACAGCACACTTATATTAAAAGCGCATGCTCCTGTTGCATTAATGGAATAAGGTAGTCGATCCGTCCTATCACAATCAACGGTAGAGAAGAGAGGTCTTGACACAACTCAAAGGGCAAGGAAGACAGGCCTCGAGTGCTACATGTCAATTACATATAGTCAACTGCACTAAAAGGGCCGTTGTTGTCAAATATCACGCGTCTCTTGTTCTTCTCCTTTCTTTCCACTGTTACGGCGTGTCTACAAGGACAAAAGGCGTCAGGTATCGCCTTGACCTGGGCCATCGCTAGCGATGAATACATATTGATCGCGAATATGGCATAGGCGGGTCGACACAGCTCAAGTCAGTGGTATGAGACAGTGTGTCCCCTATCGCGCTGATGAATGGACGTGGCATTGTCGTTCCTGTAGTTCAATCGCAGGAGAAGTCACAGGTTATGGCTACGGTACGACGGGAAGATGTTGGTTGTTTTCTGTTCTATATGGTTGCCACGGCAACTGTGAACGGCCAAACAGAAGAGGATATGCGGCTGTAACAATAAACAACTGACAATGAACAGGAAATGTTTGTTCAATTAGTTACAAGAAATGCTGGAGAGCTGATAGCAGATGAGCTTCAAGCTGTTCACCTCTTGCAGGAAGTTCTGCTTCGTATGTAGTAGAACATGCCATTTCCGAGGTACTTGTGTCCTTCTCTTCCGTCTTCCTACACCCACGTAAATAAACGTGGGGAAGCGAAGAGAAAGGAACCCCAGGAATCGTCGGATACATTTGAAAGACCATAGGTCCATCACTCACAGCGCCAAGACAGGTCATGACCGGCTTACCATGATCCATTTTGTCGATGCATACGCGGTCGGATAATCGGTCACTTCTTGCTTTTTCCTCTTCCCTTTCCTTTTGATGATGACGGTTCGTTCTTGGACGCTCCTTTCGACGCCTTTGTCGCCTTCACCTGCAAATGCACACATCTCGTTAGTTGTACTCACCGATGCAATCGGCACCAATGATACCTAAAAACTGTAAATGCAGTTGCAGCCCAACCAAATTAATTAACAAGAACGGCCTACCTTGATCATCTTGTCCTTGGTGACGTCCTGGTCCTCCTGTTCCTCCTCTCCGCCGT